AAGCCACTATACTCTCCAGCATATTCTTCCAGATTCTTAAGGCCATGCCTTTTGTAAAGGGCAAGGTAGTAAGTACCTTGCTTTCATAATAAACAGATATCTGCACTGGAATGTCCAGAAGATCAACTTTCATATTAAATACAAAGAGAAGATAACCACTGGGGTTTTTTTTGTTTGTTTCTTTGGGTTTTATAGTGATTTTTTTTTTGGGGGGGGGGGGGGTGTTGTTGGTTTTATTTGGTTTCTTGTAATTATTGACCATTGTAGTGCTGAATTTTTAACAACACATTGTAATGTTCATATGCTAAAGCATTATTATTTTCAACATCCCTTCCACTTTTTCCTTCTAACTGTTTTAGGTTTTTTGTATTTAGGCCTAGTCAATCTGAAATGAGCTAAAATGAGGGTATCTAGTTCCAAAGGGAGGATTGTGAAATGTCTGCAGCACAGGTTTGATCATAGAATCATAGTATATCTCAAGTTTGAAGGGTTCCATAAGAATAATTGAGTCCAACGTCCTGCTCCTTGCTAAACCACATGACTAAGAGCATTGTCCAGATGCTGAGTGAAATCAGAATGGTTTGGTGTAATGAAATCTTCAGGAGGAATCTGTCCCAGTGACTGACCACCCCCTCAGTGAAGAACCTTTTCATAATGTTAAACTGAACATTTCCTGACACAGTTTCATGCCATTTTCTTGTGTCAGCTCAAGAATTAAACAATTGTTTCTACATCAAATTAATAGGATGTTGTAAACAAATGTATTGGGAAGTATATTATATATAAGTCTGTATATGCCTTGAAGATGTCTCTTTTGGTCTGATCTATTATTGTACATTTTGTTGCCCTTAAATTGAGATCAAAGAACACTTAACTGGACATACCAAGTGGGCTTTAGGTTAAGAGCATACTAAGTTACTTGTAAAACATTTAATAATACTATTAATTACAACAATTTAAGGGATCAAACACTTTGAGGTTTTTAATATTTTATTATAATATTCAGTACACATAGTTTTATTGATCCTACACATACGTTATGTTATACCTGTATGTCATGGTTTAACCTCAACAACAGCCAAGCCCCACTCAGCTACTCTCTCATTCCCCACCAGCAGGACTGGGGAGAGAATCTGCAGAGTAAAAGCCAGAGAACTTGTTGGTTGAGATAATTACAGTTTAATAGGGAAATAAAAAAACAAGCACACAAACAAAGCTAAACAAGGAATCCTTTCACTGCTTCACATGGGCAGGTAGGTGCTCCACCATCTCCAGAAGAGAAGGGCGCCATCAGTGCTTACTTGGGGACACAAACACCATCACTCTGAATGTCTCCCTCTGCTCCTTCATCCCCTTGCTTTATGTTCTAGTCATGATGTAATATGGTCTGGAATATCCCTTGGGTCAATTGGGGTCAAGTGTCCCAGCCTGAATTTCCTTACAGCTTCACATGCACCCTCAGAAAATGCCTTGGCTCCTTGTAATCTATATTAATTATAATCTCTGTGTTGTCAGTTCTGTTCAGCACAATCCCAAAACACATCCCCATACCAGCCACTGGGAAGAAAATTAACTCTACCCTAGCCAAAACCAGCACACTATAGTATAATAGTTTTCCCAGCACTTGGAGATGAATGATGAAGTAGGCAAAAAACATATAATTGCCTCATGATGCATTTGCAGTCTTTCTTGTCTTTATTTTTTCATGTATAATTTAACACCAAACGTCTTAATTTATTCACAGGTAATTGTAACAGATATTTTTAAGCGGTTTAACTTCCCATCTGCTATCCTGAGATTTTAATTACATCTGTATTTTTCAGTCGACGATATTTACCAGGTTATTGAAAGGATAATGCAGTATCCATATCCATTTTAGCCCATGCTTCCCTGATGATGCTGAAACTAAATGTGAGTCACAGTGTTTGTCTGTCTTGAGAGACTCATTGTTCTGACAGGTTGGTATTGAGACTAGGAAACTCAGATCACATAGATGGTGGAGCAGCTACATGCTGTTGTGGTTTGACACTGGCCAAACTTCAGGCACCCACAAAAGCCACTTGCTCACCCTCCCCTGCCACTGCTGGGCAGAGGGGAGAAAAATTAATGAAGGGTTCATCAGCTGAGATAAGGATTGAGAGAAAAAAAAGTCCAAGGGCAAAGCAGGCTCAACTTAAAGGTACAAAGTGAATTTATTGCTAACTAAATCAGAGAAGGATAATGACAAGTAAAATAAGCCCTTAAAGACATCCTTTCTTTCCCCAGGCCCTCCCTTCTTCCCACCAACAGTGCAGGGAGACAGGGCACGGTGGTTTGGTCAGTTTGCCACTGCAGGTTTTCTTCCCCTGCACAGGAGAGGAGTGCCCTGCTGCACCATGGGGTCCCTCCCACGGGAGGCAGTTCTCCATGAACCTCTCCAGAGTGGGTCCACTCTCACGAGCAGGAGTCCTCCCAAAATTCCTGCAACATGAGTCCCTCCCACAGACACACAGTCCTCCTAAAGCTGCTGCGGTGTGTGTCACTCTTCCACCGAGTGCAGTCCTCCAAGGACAGGCTGCTCCAGCCTGGAAGCAGGGGCCCCCTCTATCCACCAGGTCTCCCACTGGATCACAGCCTCCTCCAGGCATCCACCTTTTCCAGCGTGAGCACCTCCCCCACGGGTTGCGGGTGGAACTCTGCATCCCCCGTGGATCCCCAAGGGCTGCACGGGCAGGGCTGTTCCACCATGATCTCACCATGGCCCACAGAGGAATCTCGGCTCTGCCACCTGGAGCATCTCCTCCCCTCCTTCTCCACTGACCTTGGTGTCTCCGTTGTTTCCCTCACATGTTCTCGCCTCCTCCTCTTGTCTGACTAGAAAAAACCTGTGCACTTTGTTTTGATTTCCTTCTTAAATATGTTATCAGAGAGGTGTTATCAGCCCCTCTCATTGGCCCAGCTTTGGCCAGCAGCATGTCCATCTTCAGAGCATCAGGGATTGGCTCTGCCAGGAATGGTGGAAGCTTCCAGCATCTTCTCACAGAAGCTGCCTCTGTGGCCCCCTCACTACCAAAAACCAGAGGGTGCAAAACCAACACACAGGCATAAAAAAGAAACAAGTTTTCATAGATGGTGGAACAGCTACAGGCATAAAAGAGAAACAAGTTTGATACTATTGTACTACTTGTAATTCTTTGATCAAGATTCTCAGTGATACTATGTGCCCTTAAAAAAAGTCACAACACCCCGAAAGTAAAGCCTTTCCTTAATGGGCAAGTATTAATTTACTTGAAACCATGATTTTCATGTGTAACAGGCAGTAATAATATGGATATGTTTTAACAATTTGTAAAATTTTTGTTCGCAGAGGCAGTACATCAGTAGTGTTTTTCTTGATTGCTCATAGACCATGGTTATGGTCAGGGATTTCTTTGGCAGTGTCATTCGAGGTGACTGAATTGGTGCTGTGTTTCTCATACAGTTTATGAGACCATGCAATTCTCTGCACTTTGCATAGTTAATATTTGAGCTGAAATCTCAAAGGGCAAGTAGTTTGAAAAATTTCAGCGGCATTGTAGGAAGTTCTTCTGTATATTCTTATGTCTGTATCCATTTACATGAATGACTGTATAACTACAAAAAATCTGATAATCTTGGAATGCTACTTCCTGTTACTAGGTGTCTTGACTTAAATATTTATGGTTTTGCGTGTGCGGTTTGTATTTTTTGTTTGTTTTCTTTTTTCCTCCTTGACTGTCAGAATTTCTGAGTTAGAGGTGATGAACCAAAATTATTGCTGTTTTTCTTTATTCCCCTGGAGAATGTCACCTGCCTATACACATTCTGGGGTAGGACAGGTAATGACACAGAATTGCTCTGTGGAAACGGTAAGTAATGTCGACGAATTAGTAGCTGGTACTTTCAGCTACTTTTCCTACTTTGCTTTGTCTATTTCTTGATTAAACAATAGATGTCCCTGTTTAGTTTTTACATTTATTATATTACAAACTGTGGGGAACAGCTTGTTAAGTCAGTATAGAAAGGCAGAGGTTGTCTGGATCCTAGGTTTCTTATGAAACTGGTTTTTTTTTTAGGTCAGCACAATCTCTGTTGAGGATTTGATAGTTGCTGTAACCATGCAGTCAGGAAGATTTGTATGATAATATCTCCTAAACAGCACAGCTGAAGAAGTGTATTGCCGCAGTACAGAAATGTGGTAGTACAGCTTTTATTCCTTTTTACCTTTCATTTTCACTGGCATAATGCATGGTGAAACCTAATGTGAAACTTGGAAGCATACCAGAAAAGGACACTACCTGTGGAAGAAATAAGTGCTGTCAGATATGTGGAACCCTTCTAAGGAAGAGAAAAGAAGCTGATCCATTCCAATGAATTTGTTAAATTAGGCTTTTTAGTTTTCAGCCTACGCTGGTGGCTGCAGCTGAGCCCTTTAGGCTCTGCTGGCTGTGAACAATGGAGTTGCAGATTTTTTTTCCTCTTAAAAAAAAAAAAATTAAACCGATGCTTGGTATTTGTGATAATTTTGGCCCCTCCTACTGTGCCAATTGAAACCACTCCCTACATAACCAAAACAAATCATTCCCCATGATTCTGAAGATATTTTACATTTCAGTACATGCTTTTATGCACTGAACTACATTTTGTAGATAGTACATTTTTAAAAAATGAAAGTACTTTTTTAGGAGACAGATAAGAATGACTCAAACAGCACCTCATTTTCGGAGCTCAGAAGCACAGCAAAATCAATCTTGAAGCACTAACCTGCTTAAATTTTAAATACTGGAATACATAATCTAATAATTGCTTTAGTATTGAATTCTGTTTTCTATTAGAAAATCCAATAGGTAGAACATTTAAACTGCTGTTAAATGTATTTCAAATTACATATTTATGAATTTAAAACTTATTAATCTCAAATCATACCACAGACTTCAGATCTGATCTTTGAGTAGCTTGTTGTACTGTTGAGTAAATTTTAGCACAGGATTTATTGTACTTATATGTGTTCAGGTTCTGTATTTTTTATTTCAACTGTGCCTTCTTTCATGGCTTGGATGACTTATATTTCCCACTGGTTTGACGAAGATGATTGGTATGAAGGACAACAAAGAGTAAGAATTGCTTAAAGTAATATTTTCTCTTTTATTATTTTTATATTTTTCTTCTTTAAGGTGTTCTTTATTATTATATTCATAATATCAAAAGTAGTATTTCTATAGTGGTATAGGAAGAGATTTTTAGTAGTTTTAGTGAGGTCTTGAATCATAAATAAAGCATATCCAAAATGAATTTTGGATATAAGTGAAGCATAATGAAGCATATTGAAATGAAGCATATTGAAAATTAACGTTGCTAGCTGGATAAAAGGTACTGGAAGTGTGACAACCACCTACTTACATTTTTTAGGTTGCATAATTTAACAAGTAGTAATTTTTTAATATGCAATGAGATGGAAAGCAACCATTTCATTTTGTTGTATTAGAAGGAATTAATATACCATGCATGGAGTAAAATAAAATAGTTATAGTAGTAATAGGGTAAGCCAAAAATATTTGGGAGAGATTAAATTCACCTAGGGTCATTTCCAAGTTGTATCTTGGATAGCTTTATGTTTTTATTAACATTTTTCTGAGGAGGAGTTGTTACTATGGCAACATTTGCAGGATAACTTGGATTTATTTTTAGCATTTATTAACTGCATGTCTACAGCTGCTTTCATAGATTTATGGTGGGAAATGAATATAAGTCACATTTCTTTCACTGTATTAAACTCTTTTATGGTACCTTATATTTCTGTGATTTCTTTTTCTTGTTTTCAGAGTATATGGTCAGCTAATTAGTTAGAATGCAGGAGATGCTAGGGAAAGCAGCTGCTTTCATTGTATTATTTTGTATTACTTGACAATGCCATCTATATGCTCATAAGTATAAAAAAACTGGCAGATATTAATACTGTTCCACTTTTCTCATTTTTCATGTCACTCATGATATGGATGCTTCAGATGCAGAATTACATTTTAATAGCTGTCATCAGGGATTCAGATGTAAGAAGTGTCAAGAAGTAACTTTATCTGAAATCAGAGCAGTCTTGGAAATTTGCCAGAAGAAAAGCAATCTTCTGGTGATTGTTGTAGCTCTGGATTGGAAGATGAGAACAGAATCCTATGCAGACTCTTAGATGCTTCATACTGTGATCAGACATGGTTGTATGCATATCTCTGTGTATTGCACACATTATCTGCAAACTATGACTAAGCAATACTCCACCGATAATGGCTTTGTTATCACTGCTAGATGGTTTCATATTGATTAGGTGTGTAGTCCAACACTTCTGGTGATTTATTATTAGAAATATCAGCATTTCTCCATGCCTGGAGAATTGTATGGCTAGTATGGCTCTTTAGATTATTTTGTTAAGGTGGCACAGTAAAGGGTATTCTAATTAAATGTACAAGTACTATAGTCAAGACAGTCAAAAGCACTACTTTGTAAGACTTACTAGGTTACATTTTTAATGTTATTGCCTTATGTTTTCTAAGCAGGGTATCTATCTTGGATTAATACATTTTGGGTTTATTTTGAGTGTTTGTTTCTGAAAAACAGTTTCGGGCTGTGATTTCAAGTTTCAAACTTTAAGGAAAGGTCCAAAACTTCTTCCTTTGTGAAGCCAGAGATCCTGTGGTTAAATCAGTTCTGGTAGTGATTTGGGTCCAAGTTTATTGTGGAGGTTTAAAATGGCAGTGAACACTAGTAGAACATTTGTTCATTTCAAATAATCTTTTAAATCAGAGTATTATTTTTTCCTGGTCAGTGTCTAGATAAGCGAATGCACATTTTGAACACTTGCTACGTTGTCATAGGTAAGGAAATGTTATCTGCAAATTCTGGTTGCAAGAGTCTAGCCAAAGCTTCTGGTATTGTTGAGGAATCTTGTTGAAATTCAAACAAGAATTCATGTCCAAGGCACCCTCTTCCTGACTATGGTTGGCCTTCTGATTATCTGGGAGCTATACATGACCTGTGTGCCATGAATTGTATACAAAATTAGAAAAAAACTTTTCCAATTTTTGCAAACTATCTATGCTGCTTAGTGGTAAGCCATCAACCAGCCTGGCACTTAAATAAGCAGTAGACTGCCTTGGTAGAATTCTCCTGGAAAGTATGAAGGGCTTCACTTGTGTAGGGAAGTACATGTGTAAACCTACATAATTATTATACATTGTTCTATGTTGTGACTGTCACTACTGTCACTACTAATATAGGCAGACTTTGTTCATCTTTTGCCCAGAAGCAGTTGCTTGAGTAGTGTGTGTCTCAGACTATTCAGAGACCTGCAGTAGTAACTGCAGTTTAGTAAGCCATGTCAAGATTGCAAATTGGTTAGCACTTTGCAGTACTCCAAAGTAGGAAAAACTTTTGTTTGTTTTGTCAATTTTCATTTTGTAGGTTACCTATTGGCTTTTAAGCTGTATACCAGAGTATTTCCATATATACCAGAGTATTTCCAATTACCCTTATTTGATGGGTCAGGAAAAATTAATGAGAAATTATTTTCCTAACATGGCTATAATGTGCTTGGATTTTCCCAGTTCCACTGGAAGAACACCAGTACTAATTTCATTTGTGTTTTTTACATGTGTCTCAGTGCTGTTGAGGCAGACATTGTCAGTCAGAAGTAATTTTCTGCTCTGGCTTGCAGACATGCCAACCTTTCTTCACAAGTTTGAAGACCTTTGTGCTTTTAGCAAGATAAAATGATTGTCCATTATCTGGTGCTGCTAATTGGTTTCAAATTCATTACCCACTGGATAGGGTAATGAATTTGAAACTCTGTGGTTTACAGGTGAAATTTTCAACTCCAACGGATTTCCTCCCAAGGGTAAATACCAATGTTTTCAAGGAGAAATAATGTGATATAATATCACATTATATCACTATGTGTATTATATCACTAAAGATCTTACTAATTATTATGTTATCATTGATTTGCTGACAAAGATATTGGTACCTTGGGACAGTATTGTGGATGAGATATAACAGTTTTATATGTCAGACATACAGGAGTGACAGCAAGCTTTCCATAGAAGAAAAGTGACAAACCTGATGGAAAATAATGACAATAGAGTGAACAGAAGCAGAGTACACTAGCACTTTACCTCTTGTAGCTGTTAAGAATCTACACTTTGTATACTCAGAAGCATATTGATTAACATAAGGCTACTCTACATCCACTTTTGTATACATGCCGTATTGCATATTTGGATAGGTCATACACCACATGGACCATAATCAAAGCACGTGTGAGCATCTGTTGCTTGTGCTTGATGGTTAGCCATTTACTGATACTGATAACGTGCAAGCACTGTATTGGTAATGAAAGTGTTAAGTGATGGGTTTAAAGAGCTATTATTATTCTACAAGTGTTATCATAGTGCAGTTGGGAAATACAGCGAGCAGTGAAATACACTGAGCAGCTGAAGCAGAGAAAAAGGAGTTAGATTAAAATTAAAATGGTGCCTGTTAAAGAGCTGCAGTTGCCAGGCTACTGGCACTGCAGTTTTGTGTGTGGTGTGACACAGCACTCAGTCTTTTCTCCTGCATCCTGTAGTAACTGCATTATTTGTGAACATCAAGGTTTAGTTCCTCCATCTGTCAAGTAAAGTGATTTCATTCTGCAATGAGGACACTATTTTCAATTTTTGGGACCAGCAAGGTGTTGGAATGAACATGGAAATTCTAAAGTGCTTTGCAAAAATTGATACCTATGCTAAGGTAGGGATTATTAGGCATTTATCTTTTAAGTTATTGATATAAAGCCATGGTATGTATGTAGTCAGTTCAGTTGTTACTTTTAAATAATATTTATGATATACCAAATTTCAGTTTAATGTGGTTGGTTGTTGGGTTTTTTCCTATATTAAGGAACAAGGAAGGACCTAGAATGTTGCTACTTCTGCCAATTGAAAAGAAAGGGTTTTGTTGTCCTCCCTCTTTCCTCCATCTCCTTGGAAACTGTGAGCACACACTGCTAGCTTTCCCAATGTGGTATACGTTTTTTACATGCACAGGTTTTTGGTTTTTTTTTCATTGTATACTTAAGAGTCAAATATAATTACTTGTACATCCCTTATTTCAAAATAAAATATTTTTTACAAATTATAAAAAAATCTCAATTGTATAAAAATGCACCATGTGTGAAATCATACATATTTTCAGTTATGCTGCATTTCTGCATTTTTGTCATTTTACTTAGGCTGTTCTGATGAATACATCTTTCTCTTTTATATCTGCTTACTCTGTTAATTATGCTTAACAGAAATCTATAATGTTTGAAAAGATGTGCAGGAAATTGCTTTAAGACATGATACCTATGAGAGGGCAAGTCATTATTCCACTCAACTGTCATTTCTTCTTCTAGATACTGTCATTTTGAATTTCAAGGCAAATGCTTCCTCTTGTAAAATGGTATATTATTACAAAGAGCAGGAAATAATAACAAATTTTAAACAATAAATATTAGTAAATAAAATGCAAATTCTGTAACAAAGCTCAGAATATTTTACATATGTAACTTTTTTACATATATTCAAGTAGGGAAAATCTAGTCAAAGTTTAAGAATACTTATTAAGCATGAATTCTTGACTTAGTGAAATAATGCTATATTACAGAACAACATTTTTCATCTAAAATTGAAAAATTTCATCAATTAGCAGCATTTTTGTAGAGATTACTGCAGAATCCTACAATACAAACCTATTGTTACTCTAAAAGAAAAATCTGTGGAATTCTGTTTTAGCATCTGTAAGAGATCTTAGCTTTACAACTAATTTTACATGTAATTAAACTGCAAAGTAAACAAGACTTAAATAATATTTTCTTACAGATTAAAACTTCATCAAATCAAGAATTCTTAGCTTCCATATGAGAAGGTAAAAAAGAGTATCTGTACAAAGTGAAAAAAATCTTTTATTGTTATGAAATAAAGCCTTATGTAGTCTTAGGTTCTATATAATTGTCAATTTTTTATCAATCTTACACTGATGGTTTTCAGGTGGCGAACCTGCAAACTAAACCTATGATAATCTAATATTTTACAGCTAATTCTCTCCTACTTCACCATGGCTTTTCTTTTAACTTTCCTTATCAATTGGCTGACATACCTAGAGTTTTAACCATTGTTTTCCCTGGAATCAAGAGCAGAACCCAAAATTTCTAGTTCCAGGTATTCTATGCTTTCCTAAAATAGTAATCTAATCAGCTGGAGGATCAGCTGGGGGACTTTAATCTCAGTAAAAGTGGTTGCTAATGGTGCCAGTTATTTTTTCATAGGAACTAGAAGAAGTCTGTTCTGAATGCCCCAAATCAAATTATTTCTCTGCATGTGTGATTTACACTTTAATTGCACAGAAGAGACTGCTGGAATTTGTAAATTTACTGAACAGTAAAAGAACACTACATGAAAAATTAGAAGTTTGGAGGCTATTTTTGCCACTTGATGATGCTGATTATTTAAATAATTAGATAAATTTGTCTCTGTGGAACTCATATCATTTAGAACATGAGATGGATTGCAAAGAAGCTGCAAGATTATGCAATTTATAGAAATGTCCTTTCTGGAATCTCTAATTTGCTGCAGAAGTCAGAAGAATAAATGTTATTGACAGACAGAAAGGAAGTCTAATAGCCAAAGCCCTAGTCTGCAACAAAGCTATATCTTGTAACTTGATTTTCTGTATGTTTCTGTTCTGCTGTTGCAGTCTCTTTTACCATAATTTTCAAATTTCAAATTTCATTTCAAAATGAAATGCTCAAACATGTGAGCATTTCATTTCCTTCAGTCATTTGGTACTCACTCAGAATGTTTAAGCACTTTAATTAGGGTCAGTGATATCTTTGAGATGATCAGTCTCAAACATTCAACTGATCCTGATTTTCTGCTAAAGAAACCCCAAAATAAGTCACTCTCAATTTTTTCATTTACTTTCACACTTTACAAAGTGAGAGAAAAATTATGTTATGAAATTTGCTACCTATAATTATTCATTACTGTTTACCTCCCAAGCAAATACACCAAGCAGAGGAGAAAAATTAAAAATAAAATTAATCATTCAACTGTATTTTTATCCCTAATATAAATGCATTAAAATAAAATTATGATAATATTTAGGCAACCGGTTTTTAGTTGATACTGAACAATAGGTTCCTTTGAGTTCTGTAGATCACTACTGCAACACCTGTATAAAGTTTGTTCTGTATGTGCCTTAATACTACCATCATCTAGAAAAATATTTCCCCCTCTATACATTTGACATCAGGTAGGTCAAGACTGATCTACAGCAAAGCATTGAGTAACAGTCGGTTACTCAATGCTTTGCTGTGCAACATCTGTGCTAAACTGTTGCACAGCAATGCATGGAGTAACCGACCCTTTTATTTCATCAACAGTTGGTCCCTCAAAATGCTTGATTGCTTTTGAAGTCTCCTTTCTTGTTAATTCCCTTTCCTTTGTGGAACTTGAAACGGTACCTAACACTTGGTAAATTTAACATAGCTCTCCTCCTCTTTCAGGATTATGCTCTTAGCTCTTTGACCTAAAAATGTCATCCTCCATATTCTATGTAATATTTTTCCACCTAATGTCCCCCAGTCCATTAATCTATCCACAGCATAAATGTGACCCTGAGACATTCTGGTACTAGGTAATGTGTTGACATTATCCTGAATGAAATGGGGGCTAGGTAAATTATTGGTCTGGCCCAGCAAAGCATTTCTTGCATTTTTATGTTGAAGTCAGTTTTCTCACTCTGAGCACAGCTGGTACTGTGAGACTTGTGGACAGAGAAAGCATGGTTTGCTGTACTATAATGTTACCCTAAGCTTTGCTTTTGATTTTTCACAGCTCACTTCAATGTTTTTTGTTAAACAGTAATTATTAAAATTTACAAAGCTTCTCCAGAAAGGATGATAATAAGGAGGATAATATGACAAAGATTTGTTCTATGCAAGTGGTTTGAAGACCTTTCTACATGTCGGTTTTACTTAAAACTATTGGTATATGGTTTATTTTGTCTAGCTATCAGTGGGAGATGAATGGGAGAGCAGAGGAGGCATCAAACTGTAATAGAGAAAGTATTGAATCAGACCACAGAAGAAAACGGACATGATGAACAGTTTCAGCTAGTACAAATCAAGAACTATTCAAGTTTTTATGGATGGGATCCCCCATCCCCCTTTTCTTCCAACTGGATTGTTGTGAATGGTATTAGGCACCCATTCTTATGTGGCACTGAAGCCTCTGAACATCTACTTGTATTTATTTTGGATACATTAATTTGTATCTCATGCGAGTTATTTTTTTAAAGTAGACATTTATAAATTATTTATAGGAACAAAAATGTATTATTCTATTCTTTAATATTCTGTCATCTTGGAGTCTAATGAATTTCTGTTTTAAAGGCAAAAATGTCACATGTGAAACAAGTGGGACTTTTAGCTGCTGGATGTCAGCCATGGAACAAGGATATATGTGCCGCTAGTGGGGACAGATTTGCCTACTGTGCTACCCTTGCTGTTTATATTTATCAGGTAAGATTATTCTTGTTTATCAGTTACACTGTAATGTTGTTGATCTCACTTTGAACCCTTTAAACAAATGTTTCTGCAATGCTTTTGCAAGTATGGTTGCTGCTGAGAAGATGTCTATGTAAAGCTCAATATTCCATTCAGGATACCCTTGAAGTTGTGTGTGTCAAGAATTATTTTTAGAAGACAGGCTTACAGTGCAGCAAACATTTGAGATGAGTGAAGCTCAGTGATAGAAGACTGTGTTCTGAGGGAGAAATGAAGTAATACCACAATTACATTCAAAGCTGTAGTATAAAATAGTCTTTAGCACAGTGGATTAAAATGGTTCCAAATTGTGGATTCAGTGACCCACCTTTATTTCATTTGGAGCCCAAACACCTCAGCACTGTGGTCTTCTGAAGTTTTCAGTTGTTGTATATCAACACCTAACTAACAAATAGAAATGCTGTGACATGGAATTTTCAGATTGAGAAATATGTGAGGAAATAAAGGATATACTTTAAGAGCTATACATGTAGTAGGATTAAAATGAACAAAATTTACTGTGTCATATTTGGGCATTTTTTTTATATGTATTTTTAACTGTACTAAGTTATTTTAAAAATTAGAAGGATTTCAAACTAATTTTTATATTCTTTCCTGTTTACCCCCTTGGAGATTACTAAATTATTGTTACCATGCCTATAAATAAAGCATTTTAGGATTGTTTGAGTACACTTCTAAATGAAATATAATAATTTATGAGTGACAGGAAGATAGACATAAAACTGTTTTTTGCATAGTTGGATATCGGACACCCCTTCTTTTCAAGTCAAATGTATGAGGATTTATTTTATTAAGATGTGAGGTACTGGCAATAATTGAATACACTATAAATTAATCCATAATTCTAATACTGTTATATGAAGTATTCTCCAACTCAGAGGTATTTAAAGTAAGTTAACAAAAAATGTATTTCTAAAATGAATTTTACTATTTGTTTAGCTGGATCACCGATACAATGAATTCAAGCTCCATGCAATTATGTCCGAGCACAAGAAGACAATCACAGCCATATCTTGGTGTCCCCACAACCCTGACGTGTTTGCAAGTGCCAGTGCAGATAGTTTAGTGATCATATGGAATGTGAATGAGCAGAAGGTTGTGGCCAAGCTGGACAATACAAAAGGTATTTTTGACATGGAGATCTGTTTTATCCATACAGTTTTATCCATGGGTATGAGAAATACTTGATATAGTATAAACTCTATAGTTGGTAGGTTGGAGTTTTAACAATTGCCTAGCACAATAAAAATTGCCTAACACAATCTGACAGATTCTTGTCAGATTTGTTGTCATTCATTCTAGAAAATAATGATAGTGTATTTGAGTAAATTGCCTTCAACCATCTTGTATTTGATAAAGAAAGACATTATTCTTTTTCTCTAAAGAACTTAACCAGTTCAAGAATTAACTTTGCTAGTGATTTCTTGTTGAGCAGGGGAGAAAAAAACATCCCAAAACCAACATTATTTTCATCACTGTATAAAAGGATAAACAATTAAATTTTAAAATAATAAATTTCACAATGACTTTAGCTAAGTGAAAGCAAATAAAAGGTAGCCTTAACAGATTCAAGTATAAATCATCAGTGAATTTGAACAACAGCTTTTGTTTAAATACCCTAATGCTTGTCTACCTGAATCTTACCTCAGGCCTTGAAACTGCTGGAGATTGTATTACAAGTCTAGGGAGTTAAGCATCTATGTTACAGTTACATTTCCATGCCCAGTTCTGATTTATGCCATTTAGGTAAAACCAGTACCTGTATTTCTGTTCTTACAGTCAATCTCATCAGGTATCCTTGACTCCTACATTTTGGAAAGTGAGTGCAATCCAAGAGCAGTTAGAATCTCAGGATCTAATGAGCTATTTTGGGACTCCCTACTCTGTTCTCTCCAGAGCATTTAGGAATACCTCTGGAAATTTTTATATCTTGCATATCATGCAAAAGAAACTCCACAGTGATTTGATCTATTCCAAAAGAAATATTGTATCAGTTTATGCATAAATATAAATGCTGGTACTTATTTTTCAGTACATGGATTGTTAAAAAATCTACAGGAAGAAATGTTATTACTATTTTAATATTTTTAGAAACTAAATTAAGATAATATGTTTAAACCTTCTATTGATTTCTCTTTTAGTCCCTTTTACACTGCCATATAAAAGTGTCTAAATACACTTGAGGAATTTGTCTTACTGTCATTTATTCCTTCAGGCACACATGATTAAGTTATGAGGATTAATAGGGTTGGAGACATTAAGAACAAAATTCTTAAATGGGACTGCCTACACTTAGGTGTTAGACAATGGAATTAAAACTGTAATGTATCCAGAAGAAAGCTATTGAGAGCTCCCTTTTATTATGGAGCTAGCTTTCAAATTTTGTCACAAATATCTGCTTCTGTTAGATTTATCTCTAAATTTCATTGTATTTTGATAAAATAGGCATTTTGAAATTCTCAGTATTTTACTATCTTAGTAGTAAATAACTTACAGCAAAACATAGTAGTTGAATGAAATTCTGAATGAATGAAAGTATTGTTTGCAGGATCAGGCTTATCCTCTTTCAAATGTGTGATTGACTTTGGCACTGATGAAGTATAGATACCATTAAATACAACCCATCAAAGTAGCATAAGAGTAATTTGGGAAATTATTTTACTTCCTTCCTCTAGAAGTCTAGTTTAATTTTACACCGTAAGATGTTCACACACTTCTCTAAATTTCAGTCTAGCAACTTCTATGTAGAAAAATGATTCCTACTGTTTTTCAAGACAATTGCTGATACTGGGTCAAGGAATAGTACATGGAATTTTGTGTCCTGGTTCTTATAAAGTTTACCTGTATGTTTCAGGAATTCCTGCATCCCTTGGCTGGTGCTGGAATGCAGGTGATGCAGTTGCGTTTGTGTCGCACAGAGGTCCACTGTACATTTGGACTATCTCAGGACCTGACAGCGGGGTAACTGTGCATAGAGAAGCACATAGTTTCTTGTCAGATATCAGTCTGTTTAGATGGCATCCAAAGAAAAAAGGAAAGGTGGTATTTGGGCATACTGATGGAAGCCTGTCTATTTTTCAACCAGGTAAAAACTCATATGACAAAATATTTAGTTTTATATATGTATCTCTTGTTTCTCCATATGTAATTTTTCACTTTTTAAAATTAGATTCTATCATGTAGGTACATACATAACATATTTTCTCAATTCACAATATTCCTAGTCCTTCCATATCACAAAAATGTGCTTTCTTAGATAAAGAATTCAGAGCACTTTCTTTATGTCTCCTGCCTTTTGAGACCAAGATAAGACTGCATTTTTTTTATAACTGCAGTAAACACTATTTTTTTGCAAATGTTGACAGCCATGATCTTCTACTGAACTATATTTCCCTGCAAGTTTATTTTTCTGAATGGAAAGACTTGAATCTTTTGTTTACTTTCCTGCTTTTGCATTTGTTCTGGAGTCCTCTGTTTCATATTCTAGAATCCTCTGCAATTTTATACGTAGAATCTCACCTCATACTTATATTCTTAATATTATCTTCATGACTGTTCTGTTAAAGGATAGATGGGAAAATATTTATCTCTTTTTGTCTGAAATCCACCACACACACTTGTCATTACCTTAAAAATAGTCTAGTCCTCTGCCAAGAAGGTGTCATGTTAAGCTCATTTGAATGTAACATTTCACTTGCTTTCATAGTTTTCTTCAAAGGCAGGTATCTGTATTAGGTTGATTATTTGAATTTTTTTCCTGACTGCTTCTTCCTTGAATAAAAATTGATTTTCAGCTGTGTGAGAAAAACTGTTCTTTAAATTATGTCTTAATTTTACATAGAATTGTTCTCCAACAGCCATACAAAATTTATTTTTCTTCAGTTCACTCTACTAAGTTGTCACACAGGATGTCACAGAGATAGATTCTCTTGCTTCTGTAGTGCTGACTGAATTAGCACTGGCATTGGGAAAAGGAAATCAATTTTAATATTATAACAATTAAGTATTTATCAGACTGAAACTTTTCATGAAGTCTGTCTAAAATGATTTGAATATGGAAACAGAAATAATAGGAAAATATTTAAAATATCAAAATCATGTTCTGTAAATGAAAATAGGTTGTAGGCTAAAAAATCTAGGTAATGGCAGTTTTGTATGTGCCACAATTCAAGTTGCTGTAAAGAAATTGTTTAAGGAAAATTATTTATTACTGTTGGGGATAAAACTATTTGCATGAACAAAAATTTAGATTAGATTATCACAGGAATGCTGCCTTTCTCTGTATTTAAGACAGTTTTGTTTATTATTGTAATATTACACATCTTTATTAAAATAATTTTAAAATTAAAAAATATGCAAGTTCTTTCCTGTTCTCAGCATACATAACATTCTTCACTTCCTACAGAGAAATAAAACTTGAAAGTTTATACGCAGCTGGGTGAAAATCTTCTGCATAAGTAGCAGACTAGACAATGGTTTTTTCACTGTTGTTATCTACCTAGTTTCTGCTCCCATGGCTGTATTTTCTTTCTTATTAACTCTAGACTATGCATTAATGTATCAGAACATTTAGTGTAAAGAAAATACATGCAAGAATATAAGATTAATACCCAATTCTTAGGGAAGTTCAGTGCAGTCATATAGAGCCAAATGTTTTCCCTTTCATTTGTTCTCAAAATAAGCACAGCTTACTTAAATGACGTGTGACTCAGTTGCATGATTCATACTGTTCATGTCTTCTTTTAATGGAAAACAAAATTTAAGTTAGGGTTTTCATGAGGTTTGGTTTTAGACTCTTTTTTTTGAAACACAGGTAAAACTCAATTACTTTTAGGTAGATACTCATATTCTCCCACCAGGTGGTTGTACTTTCTTGGGGCTGAAGTGTTTGAAAATGGATGGCTTCAGTCACTCGAGGACTTTTTGCTTTTAGTTCTTGTATAGCTAGCTGAAAAAAGAGAATTCTGCTTTGTTGTTTGTTCTTGTTTTTCATTTCAGTGTTGATTTGCAGTAAAACTAAAAGGTGATCTGTAATGTAAGCAGGGGACATTGTTTATAAAAAGTGTGAGTTCTCAAGTTTTTGGCAAATTAAAGCAATTATCATACTTCTGCTGTTATTCTCAATGCTTCAGAGGAGTGAAAAAGAAATGGAAACAAAAAATTGGTTTATTGTTAATTGTTGTGCAGTCTTAAATTATTTCTCCCATCTCTGGTACCTGATTTTATTAAGTTGCCTTAGATGTAATGTGTATGAGTCAGTACTAAAATTGAAAATTAGATTGAAGATGAATAATGGAAGGTGTAGATTCCTTATTTCTAGAAAAGCAGTATCTTTTTTTATAAGATCACAACTTCAGAAATACAGATCTATTTCATTTGGACTGTACACTGCCTTATACAACTAAGATTAATCTCTCTGTAAAGAGAAAAAGTGGGCAATAAATAGGATATTAAAAATGTGGGTTTCAGTAATATAGATCATCAAGTGAAGCACGTAGTCTTTTTTGTAGGTGTCAGACTAGATACTTAATCTTCTGTTTTGGCTACAGAATCTATAAACACTTCATAGCTGCACACATAGTTTTAAAGAAGAAAAAATGTCTTAAGGCAGTTCTTCAGAAAAGCCCTTTACTGCCACAGAGTTTTTCTGGTTCTTACTGCCTTTATTTTGCCTATATTTGCTGTGGTGTGAAGATTTACTTGCACTCAAATGGCTTGTATTTTATGCTGTGCTGCAGAACTTTACTCACAGAAATTATTAGAACAATGTATATGATTTGACATACTTTCCTTTCCTATAAAATTATGTTTATAAATCCAATAGATGTTTCTGTTTCCTGCTGTATTAAACATAAAGTCAAATCTGACAGAAAAAGTAATAAGTCAAATATTGCAAAGACAGCTTCATTATTTTTATTGCTACAGACAATAGAGCAGGCTAGTAAAAAATTCAGGAAGGCAGGAAGAAATTATCTTTGCCAACCTTGTAACTATTGAAAGGATATATTTGATTTAATTTTTAAATAACCTGTTTTCTTGTGCACTTTCAAGGTTCTAAAAATCAGAAACATGTCTTAAGACCAGAGTCTCTTGAAGGAACAGATGAAGAGGATCCAGTTACAGCTCTGGAGTGGGACCCTTTGTCAACTGATTACCTTCTTGTTGCTAATTTACATAATGGTATTCGACTAGTTGATTCTGAATCTCTGTCCTGTATCACAACTTTTAGTTTTCCCAGTGCAGCAGCATCTGTTCAGTGTTTAGCCTGGGTTTCTAGTGCACCTGGAATGTTTATAACTGGAGGTAAGGCTTTTATTTCTTGATTTATACAAAGATAACAAATACAGGACTGAGTATCAAAAATTGATACTCCAAATTTGATTTTTTCTGTTTCATAATATTTTTACAATTAGAAGCATACATCAATTTTACAGAAAAAGACCATAACACAAAACCAGAAAATAATAAAACTACACTGAGCAGTTTTTTCATGTTTAAAAAATATTAGCTACATAAATATGTGACTTTCTACAATTTTTCTATGCTAAATAATGTTTTCCTTATGCATGCTTTAGCAAAAAAAAAATTAATTCCTTTGGGAATAAGAATAAAAATGCTTTGTACTAATTGATGTCACTTCAGAGATTTAAAAAATTAAAAGAAGAAAAGAATCTAATTCCTGCCTCTTTTCTACACCATAGTCATTATGGCTCAGATTGAACTAATGAATAAAGAATTTAAGACTAGCAGAATATTTTATAAAAAAAGAGGTAGAATTTATCTGTGTTTAAGTAACTAATGTTAATAAAGATTGTTGTTAATAGTGATATGGCCATGGTGGTGAATGGAGGATAAATAGGATGCCATGGATGTTACACTAGATGATCTCCAGAGGTTCCCTCTAACCCTAACTATTCTATGATTCTATGGAGTTGATGGTGCCTGCTTGTAAAATTATTTTTAGGACTTGAAGTTTAATTCACTGCTGTATTTTTGTATAAATCAGTCCTCAAACTACACACCTCTGTTTTGTTTTGTTTTGTTTTTTTTTTAACCTCAGATTCTCAGGTTGGTGTGTTACGTGTTTGGAATGTTTCACGTACAACACCTATAGATAATTTTAAATTGAAGCAAACTGGTTTCCATGGCTTGCATGTGCTAAGTTCTCCTCCAAAAAAAAAGTGTAAGTGTAATTTTGGTTGTTATTCTTTGTAATGGCTGCAACTTAAGAAAATCTTATTTATGAGTCCAGATCAATCTCTGTAGCATTGGTCAGCTATTTAGTTCTTAATTAAAGTACCTTCTGCTGCTAGTGCATTAGACAAATGCATAAAGGATCAAGTACTTTATAAGGTCCTTCTTTAGTGGGACAGGCTTCATACAGGAATTCTCCATTTCTTTTCTTTTAAATCTTACTAGAATACAAGCATTTTACTCTTTATAATTTCCCTCATTATTGAAATAAGAAATAAACTTCTCTCTTTGTCTTTTGTTTTATATTATTAAGCATGTTCATCACAGTATCCTACTAAAAATCACCATACATCTTCAACAAGTGAGGCTGTTCCTCCTCCAACTTTAACCCAAAACCAAGCATTTTCTCTTCCTCCTGGTCATACCGTCTGTTGCTTCATGGATGGTGGAGTGGGGCTTTATGACATGGGAGCCAAAAAGTGGGATTTCCTTAGAGATTTGGTATGGTTCATCTCTGTCTTTGAATAGAGAGTTTATTTGCCTTATGCACTTTCTTATAACAGCAAAAAACGGGATAATGAAGTCTTTGCAGTACCATGGAGCAGTTTCTATTGTTAAATAGAGACTAAATTTCTAGGAAACAAAATGACAGTTGTGAAGTTTAAAGTAATCTTTTATTGGAAATTACTGAATTCTGTTAGAAGTATTCTGACAGGTTTTTTTTTTTTTTAAACAGAAATAAAGATTTACAGACTCGTTTTTAGGTTGTTTATTTTTTTTAATGAAATTTTAGTTTGATGATCTTCTCAGAAATTTTCTCTAGTGGGTTTTCTATAATTCAGAATAAAAGTTTAAGTAAAATCAGAGAGCTATATGGTGAATGCACTCAGTTTAACATTACAAAGAATTATTAAATTCTCTTTGAAGCTGAAATTCAGCAATTGGTTTAATATATATTAGATGACCCTTTTCTACACCAGGCTTTTGGTTATTGACATTATTGAGAATATTTTTCTTTTCCTCTTTCCAAGTTCCCTTTTCACTGAAAAAAAAAACCAAACAAACAAAGCTCAAATAATTTTCAGCTGTACTCTCATATGCATTTGAATAGAAGCTGCTGGTTGGTTTTCTCTTTCCATTTTTATTTGGTTTGGTCCTGTAAAGCAACTGAGGCTTCAAAAAAAATTCTTACTTAATACTTGCGTTTCATATATTTATCAACTTAAATTCTACAAATGCATGTCTTGGAAATCAACCAATCGATACATTAAAACTGATGGATTGAAGTTTAAGCTGCAATAGAGCATAGACTGTATCTAGAAACACAGAATATTCAGTGGGGCACTAGACAACTTGTAGAACACATTTAATATACTGAGCTTTGTTTTTTTAGTCAGGTACTTTTTACCAAAAGGGAAAAACTGTTCCTGTTTTTAAAAATTAAGGTTTTGGGGTTTTTGGTTTTTTTTTGCTTAATTTTTTAATTTAATATTTTAGCAACATATTTCCAACAGAAAATGCTAAAAAGTTCCTGGCATTGCATACCCTGTGGTTTCAGGAAATAATTTTTCTGTTTTTAATAATAATGTATGAAAGAGCATGTTATAGTTGAAGTTATTTTATGCCTTTTAATTTTGACTGATAAGCCTAAATATAAAAGGGTTTTGGAACTCTTAATTGACCTGACAGTTAAATGAAATACAATGTATTTTAGAGTTTGATCTAGAGTTGGACTTATGAAGAAAATCAAATGTAATAAAAATGGATTAAATATTTGTTTCATTTAAGGGACATGTTGAGACCATCTTTGATTGCAAATTCAAACCTGATAACCCTGATCTTCTTGCTACAGCTTCATTTGATGGCACAATAAAAGTTTGGGACATAAATACTTTATCAGCGGTTTATACATCTCCTGGTAATGAGGGGGTTATTTATTCCATTTCTTGGGCTCCAGGTAAGAATATTTTGCGGTATGTCTAAATGTTCTTTGAATTAGCATTAACTGCAGAATTTGTCATATCAAAGTATTAGTTTTATATAGAAAGGCCGTCTTCTAAGGTTTAAACAAAACTTAATTATCAGTGAAACCAGTAGAATTCAATATTTCAAATCTTGCTGAAGCTTACCCTTTGAGTAATGCTTCCAGTATTTCATACTCAGAATGGAGGGAGAAAAATCACTGGAACTTTTCTAACATGGCATTTTGCAGATGAAAAAAATGTCCTGCTTTGCATGAGAAGCAGCTACTTAATGGAATTCAGATTATATTTTGTGCTGAAATAGTGGAACGTATGTAGTTAGCTCTTTTTCTTACTTCTTTATGTAGGAGTCTAATCACTGAAAAACTCCGTTTTAAACTTATTAGAATAGGAAGTGTCTTTTCTGCAAAGCATCTACTTTTTCTTTCACAAATCACTGGACTCACTGGGAAATTTCATGTTCAAAGCTGTCCTGTAACCTCCTTTGGTGTACCTGAAAATACACTTCTGATAGCTGTCAATAGTGGACAATAAGTTGACTTCCCTGATGCGTTTTATTTCTTTGGACAGCAGATGTATCTTTTAAAAATCTAAATAATTCATCTCTCTCTTCTCACCTGCACTTTTAAACTCTTGCAGTGGTGCAAGATTAAGAAAACAAAATACTGTTAGGTGTTCTCTCTCATTTGTATGATTTGTCTTTATATGTACGGAACTTTAAAGGAAAATGCTCTAGTTATTACAACTTTAGGCTTGAAACATTGAGGTTACCTCTCAGTTTGAATCATATGCATCATGATCATTAATTTCTTACATGCAAGACTTTTAGCAAGCATTAAGACACTTTTTACAGGAATACAATTTTTATTTGACCATTTCTCAAAACCAGAATGTAGAAAAACAGGTCAGGCTGTCACTGAAATTGGTGTTTGTGACTTAGTAGCAAATGCTGCCCCTAAACTATGGAAAACTCATGTTCATGTACCATTGATGTCTTATGTTCATATTATATTTCTTCAATTTAAAGTAGAACCACTGTCAAAAAATATAGTGATTTTATAATTATGGTAATATTTTACAAACATCTCTCTTTAGGAAATCTTAACTGCATAGCAGGTGGAACATCCAGAAATGGTGGCTTTATCTGGGATGTTCGAAAAGGCAAAATGATAACCAGATTCAGTGAGGTAAGATGAGTTTACTACTTTTTTGGTCTATATGAAATGTAAGTTAGTCATTCCCTCTAGTGTCCATAAATACAGATGGCCAAAGGACTTATGTTTTTAAAAGGTGCTATAGTATAAAACTTCATGGAGTTATGTAGGTGCCAGTTTACATGTGTGGCAGAAGTATTTTTACTTCCTCAGATTGGATTTGTGATACGAGAGTGGTGAAGCACCAGATGGACTCCATTATCTTAAAATTGGTCCTGTAGGGATACATGGCAAAAGCATTGCTGATTCCTTAACTGTGTAAACATATATGGATATACAGACTCAGCATCAAAATGAAAACTGTGTTCTGTATTTTCAAACATAAGGGCCAGAAAAAACTTTCAGTACCTGCAGTCTAGATCCATAAAACTCGATTTTGCAGCACACTAAGCAGTATGACTTATTTAGTGGCTTGCCTTGTATTACCTGAAATTTATCCAGACATTTTTAAGGCCTGAAATAGTAGTATAATTTTTATTGGCAGAAGGAGTTGTGTAATACTATGTTGTAGTATTTTACACTATTTTGTGCATTCCCAGTATATAGTTGTGATCTTCAGATTATACAGACATAATCATTTAAGTATAGGATCCACATCAATGTACAAGGGATGCTCTTTAAGAGAGAGGTAGGGGAGTGAGGAGAGACACAAGCAGAAAGCAAGGATACCTACCTTCAGGAGTTCTGGCATTCTAATACTGATATTGGTATTTGTGCTACTAAATATCTTTTCTGTAATACTGGTCCTGATACACATCCCAGTTAAGTTTTCTCATACCACAATTTTTCATGCCCACATACTTCATTATTCCAACAAGTAACTTACCTTTATTCAGACTGACTGAATAATTAACATTGGAAGGGACAACAGGGAGTCATCTGGTCCAACCTCCTTGCTCAAGCAAGGTCATTCTAGAACACTTTGCACAGGGTTGCATCCAGATAGTTCTGGAACATCTGCAGAGAGGAGACTCCCCAACCTCTCAGGACAATCTGTTCCAGTGCTTGGTCACTTACACAATAGAGAAGTTCTTCCTCCTGTTCAGTTGGAACTTCTTGTGCATCAGTTTCTGCCCATTGCCTCTTGCTTGGCACTACTGAGCAGAGCCTGGCTCCATCCTCTTGGCATGCTCCCATCACATACTGACAGACATTGATCTGTCCTCATTGATCACCTCTCAGTTGTGACTTTTCAAGACTGAATAGGCCCAGCTCTCTCAGCCTTTTCTTGTAAGAGAAATCATTTTTGTTGACCCCTATTGGACCCTCTCCACAAATCTCTCTTGTACTGAGAAGGACAAAACTGAGCACAATACTCCAATGTCCTCTCCAGGGCAGAGTAGAAGAGCAGGATCATCTCCATTGCCCTGCTGGAATACTCTTCCTAATGCACCCCAGAACACCACTGTCCTCTTGGCCACAAGGTCACACTGATGGCTCATGGACAGCTTGGTGTCCACCAGAACCCCCAGGACGTTCTCCACAGAGCTGCTTTCCAGCAGGTTGCTCCCAGCCTGAGCTGGTAATGAGTTTATTCTTCCCCAGGTGCAGGACCCTGCATTTGCCTTTGTTGAATTTCAGCTGGTTCCTCTCTGCCCATCTCTCCAACCTGCCAAGGTCCCTCTGAAGGGCTGCACAGTGCTCTGGGGTATCAGCCACTCCTCCCAGCTTTGTGTCATCAGTCAACTTGCTGAGGACACATCTGCCCCTTCATCAAGTCATTGATGAACAAGCTAAACAATTCTGGGACCAGTATTGAATCCTGAGGGCCACCACTAGTAATAGGCCTACAACTAGACCCTGTGCCACTGATTACAACCCTCTGGGATCTGCTGTTCAACTAGTTTTCAATCCACCTCACTGTCCACACTTCCTGAGATTGACTATGAGGACTTTGTGAGAGACAATGTTGAAATTCTTGCCAAAATCAAGGTGGGCAATATGCACTGCTATCCTCTCATCATCCATTGAGGTGAGGCTAATTGGCTAGTAGTTCCCTGGGTCTTCCTCTTTCTTTTTGAAGACTGGAGTGACATTTGCTTTCTTACAGTCCTCATCTCAAACACCTCTCCTGATTGCCACAGCCTTCCTTTCAAAGATGACCATGAGCAGCCTCCCTATGGTGATACTCTTTCAGCATTTGTGGATGCATCCTGTCAGGGCCCATGAACCTGTGGATATCAAGTTTGTCTGTGTGTTCTCTAACCCAGTTCATTTTGATCAAGGGAATGTCTTCCTTCCAGCATTCTTCTATGCTGGTCCCTTGAGTCAGAGATTCCTGAGAGCTGGTTCTGTCAGTGAAGACTGTTGAAAAGAAGGTGTTCAATAACTCTGCCTTTTCTGTATCCTCTGCCACCAGAGTCCCTCCTTGATTTAGTAATGGGCCTACGTTATCCTTGTTTTTCGTTTTGTTATTAATGGAGTTGAAGAAGCACTACCTCTTGTCCTTGATATCCTTGGCCAAATTTAATTCCAGATGAGCCTTTGTCTTCCTTATCTCATTTCTGCTTATTTTGCCAACCTCTCTATATTAATTCCAAGTGGGCTGATCCTACTTCTATCCCCTGTGCATTTCCTACATGCAGTTAAGTAATGACAGAAGTTCCTTGGTCATCCATGATCTCTTGCCCTCTTTCCTGTTTCTTGCTCATTGGGGTGCATTGTTCTTGAGCCTGGAGGAAGTGATCCTTGAATATCAACTGATTCTCTTGGACCCTTTTTCCCTGCAAGGCATGTTCCCATGGAACTGTTCAAAGAAAATCCCTGAAGAGACTAAAGGTAGATCTCCTGAAGTCTATGATTGTATCTTGCTGCCCTGCTTCCACCTTGCCTGATACTGAACTCCACAGTCTCAATGGTCACTGCAGCCAAGGTTGCCCCCAGCCTTCACATCTTCCACAACACTTTCCCTGTTTGTTAGTATGAGATTCAAGCAGCACAACATTCCTTGTGGGATCCTACATGACCTGTGACAGGAAGTTGCCATTAACACTTTCCAGGAACCTCTGGGACTCTTTGTGCTTCACTGTGTTGCTTCTCCAGCAGATATGAGGGTAGTTAAAGTGTCCCAGAAGAACTAGTGCCAATGACTTTGGGGCTGCTTGTAGCTGTCTGTAGAAGGCTTCATCCACTTCCTTTTACCTATCAGGCAGCCTACAGCAAACACCCACAACAGTGTTTTGTCCAAACCATAAGCTCTCGACTTGCCCATCATCCACCCCAAGATAGAGCTTGATATGTCCTAAATGTTGTCTCACACAGGGGGAAATTCCACCTATGTGACTTCCTGGCCTGTCTTTCCTAAACATTGTATAGCCTTTTGTGGCAACATTTCAGCCATGCGAGCTATCCCATTGTGTCTCTGTAATCACAGTGCAGTCAAAGGCCTGTCACTGCACACAGATCTCTAGTTCATCCAGTTTGTTCCCCATACTGCGTGTGTTGGGGTACAGGCACCTAATAGAAGTATTTGATTCTGTCCACATCCCAGTGGTGGTGCAAAGGGATGCCCCGTAGTCCTGTCTAGTGATTATGTTTTTGGCTGCTTGTGCTTGCTCCAGGTACTGCCTCTTAAGCCTCCTAATGCTACTAGAGTGGTTTCTATTGTTCTCCCCTTCCCTACACATTCTCTCTGGCAAGCCTGGCCCTGGTCGCTTTCTAAACTACTTTAAAGCTCTTGCAGTGAGCCCTATGAACTCCTGAACTAAACTCCTTGTTCTCTTTGTTGCCAGCAGGCTCGGTGTTGTATAAACTGACCCATGATCAAAACCCCCAAAATTGTGCTGGTAACACCAGCATCAAGTCCAGTTGTTCATCTGCATGATCTTCCTGTTTCTTGCCACATCATTCCCTGCAACTGGCAGGACAGAAGAGAAAACAACTTGTGCTTTACATCCCTTGAGCCGTTGCCCCAAGGCCCAAAGGTCCCTCTTGATTGTCCACAGTGTTCTTCATTTAAGCTTCAGGTGTATATAGTTACGGATTGCTCATTCTTCAGCTTGACCCAGTTTTGTCTCTTAGATGCTGGAGGCTGTAGCAGTTTTACTACTTATCCCCATAGTCCCAGTGTTTTGGACTTGGATTCTCAAACATCCAGCTTATATTGGGTACTCATTATAATGTGGTTTTGTACAGTTTACTGTACTGGGACAAAAAGGGCTGAAGACCACAGGAGAATAAAGTAAAAAATATGAGTCAATAGATGAGAGAAAAAGGGGTGAATTATTTCTTATTGATAGGTATTTTGCATTTTTTGAAGCATGGAAAGAATGGAATCTTCTGCATTGCCTGGAGTCATAAAGATTCCAAAAGAATAGCAACCTGCAGCAGTGATGGATTTTGGTGAGTGTTATTGGAAGAAAAAAAATTGCTAAATGCACTTCTCAAGTCCATAAATTTTGACAGTACTCTCAGTAATTAATTTAAAAAATTTTCTTACTGGACAAAACTTAAATTCTATTACTCTTCTGTACTTGCTAGTGTACATTTTTCATGATCTTAAGAAAAAAATAAAGGTAGTGTTTTCAAATGGAATAGTGTCTAAGACACACTGATAGTGAAACTAAATAGTTATTTTTATTTGGACAAGAATATCCTTCTAGGTTTCTTATCTGTAGATGACACTTTTCAAAAGACAGCCAACTTTAAAAATTTTTTTTTACTTTGTTGTTTCAAGGACTAAAAAGTACTATTTTAGAATGAAATAACTACAGGTGTGTTATCACAGGAGTATAATACCTCATTTCTAAAAATGCATGAATATCCATTGAAACCAGTTTTGCATATATTGTGTTTCAGTACAAGAGATTTTAAAAATCTTTCTTCATTTGTTTCCTCTGCTACCTGTGTCATTCCAGCTCGAACATAATGGGCAGAAATTTTAGAAAACAATCAACCTTCTTTTTAATTCATAAAGATCTATTTGTACCTTAAAACCATGACTACAACTTTGATTCTGGGCAATGAGATCCTGTCTTGAAAGATGTACCACAGTGAACGTCTTTAAAGCCCCTCTAGAAACACAGATAACTGAAGTCAAAAAAAAAAAAAATCAACATCCAGTTAAATGTTGTGATTGAAGGGCCAATATTGTTTGTGGCTGTTTCTCCAATTCTTTGTGTGTATCTTTTTGCTCTCTGGTTTATTTGCACAGAATAAAACTTAATTTTGGATAGCCTACCCAGAATGTATTTTTCCTTATAATATCACATTGTAATTGCTTTCAGTATTATTCGAACCATTGATGGCAATGTTCTTCACAAGTACAAACATCCAGCTGCAGTGTTTGGCTGTGATTGGAGTCAAAACAACAAGTAAGTAAAAATTAACCCAAAGAATTGACAATATTTACTATTTAAATAGATTACCAGTAAAGTAACACAAATTTATCTAGAATGTGATATTCACTGTGATAGCAAAATACTGAAATGATCTCTTCCAAAGCAGGATATGCCTATAGCAGCTCTCTCTTCCCAGTAGTATATGTCATTGACTACCATGAACTTTCTTAACTTTCAAAGGAAGATCATTTCATATTGATGAGTGGAAAAAAATTATCTAGCTGAATATATAATGGGGAGGGGGGGGGAAGACATTCAATACCAGGAAAGAGGGGTGAAGATTGGTGTCCTTGTAATGACTACTAAGGGGAAAATGAAGCAGACAACTAAATACATTGTGATTATATGTAAATTTTGTAGATAATTCCTAATAATGACATGACAGTTTTTTGTAAAAAAAAAAATTATAGTAATTCAATTAAATAATAGTTGTGTATTGGGTGCATAGTCAGATGAGTGCAAATATATTCCTCATTGCAACTAAAGGATCTTTATCAGGTTGTTTATGATTTAGTTTTTTTAATTGGATTATCAATACCTACATCTTGAAGAGATGAAGGAGAAGCAAAAAGTTGCTATTTAAAAAAAAAATTGAAAATTGCACATCATATTTTTTTTTTTAATTTAAAAGGCATTCATCATCTCTGTGAGCAAGGATTTTGCTGGTTTTATTTTGCAGAGATATGATAGCTACCGGTTGTGAGGATAAAAATGTTCGTGTTTACTACTTGGCAACCAGCTCTGATCAACCATTGAAAGTTTTTACTGGGCATACTGCAAAGGTGTTTCATGTGCGGTGGTCTCCTCTCAGAGAAGGAATCCTCTGCAGTGGCTCTGATGATGGGTGAGTATTTCTGAACTATTCGAAAACTTAAACCTCAAGCAGGACTATTGGAGAAACTCACATAGTGAGTGAAACTCAATGGAGTTGTCCATAATTAATAACCTAAATCTCTGGCTTGTTCAGATCCAGGTTTTATCTCTGCTCTTAGTTTTATGTAGTATTTGGACAGCAGGATCATTATCTAAAATAGTCACAACTGCTGCACTAGTGCAAGTTTCTATGTGCTTTCCCAAAAGTAGGGTCAGTGCCTGATACTGTTACTGCAAGGAATAGAACAAGGAGGATACCACATGCTTGCATTACATCTGAAGAAACAGGTGCAAGACCTGCTCTTATTTGATATTTTTCAAAAGTGTACTTAAGTAGAATCTGCAGAGAATTTTAATGAGTATTGGATCCTTCTGTTTTTTGGTTTGATGCCATTGTTTTTGAGGGAGGGCACATCAGTCCATGGCAAGCAGAAGGAAGCATTTTTCTATGATTCTAAGCCACTTCACTGCAGAATATACAAGATATATTTGTAAAGGATATTTTGTCAAGTTTAGAGTATTGGCTTCTATTGCTTTCCCATTATCATTCGAGGTTTGTTCTTGAAGCAAAATCTATTTAGTTCATAGTGTAGTGATTCATGACAGAAGACAACTTGATAGCAAACTTCTTGGCAATAAAATACATTGAATAGGACTGCCCCTAGAATTGAACCCTGAGGAGCATTGCTGCTAACCAGTTGCCAGCCAGATTTAGCCCCTTTCACTACAACTCTTTAAGCCCTGTTGTAATGCAAATAAATATTCTGATAAATTTGAAGTTTAAAATATTGCTGAAGTAGAGAGCTAATTATATTTCAATAGGTGATCTGATGTAGATTGTCCTCTTTTCTCCTGTTTCAGAACCGTTCGGATATGGGATTATACACAAGATGCTTGTATAAATGTTCTTAGTGGACATACAGCTCCGGTTCGGGGACTGATGTGGAATCCTGAAATTCCTTACCTTCTAATATCTGGCAGTTGGGACTATACAATTCGAGTTTGGGACACAAGAGATGGAACATGTTTGGACACAGTTTATGATCATGGTGCAGATGTATATGGTAATATCTTTTAATTTTTTTTTAATTTCTGTATTGAAATGTATTCTAATAGGGTTTGAAATTTATAAAGTAGTTTAATCAAACAGGTTATTAGATAAACTTATTTGACTACATTTTTAAATATCCCCTCTACTAGGATTAACGTGTCATCCTAGTCGTCCATTTACTATGGCATCTTGCTCTCGTGATTCCACTGTGAGACTCTGGTCATTGACACCTCTTATAAACCCTCTACAAATAAATATCATAACAGACAGATGCTGGGATGATATTATTGGCAATACAGGTAAGCAAATAACCATTGTTTTCATTTTCTTTATGTTAATATTTCTATTCCTTTGGTTGTTTCTTATTTTAATTTCATATATAAATTTTTGTGTGTGTTAGATCGTGCCGTGGAGTCTGGAGCTCCTCCTTTGCTGTGTGGTAAAGTTTCCAGGGATATTAAACAAGAATTGGAAAAATTGTCAGGAAGTCCTCAAGGAAAAAAACTAAGGTGGTTTTCAGAATTTTTTTCAGTAAGTATTCTGCAAACTTAGGGATGCTGTCAATGTGCATGACTTTCTTTTCTGAAGTCAATCTACAAAATTGAGATTTCTTTTTTCTCTACCATTTTTTTCACTCTTTCTTGAAAGGACCTTAGAAAATAGGCAGAAATAAATTTATTTCCTAACATGTTGGCATATAAAATGTCCATGATTGAATTGCTTGTCAGTTGTGAAAAACAAATTTTACTAATTCAACTTTGCAAAAAACAAACCACCTTTTTGCAAATTTAAATTAGTGAAATAATACAATTTTCTATAGGAAAAGTTAATTTGACAGCAATTTGCTATTGAAGAAAATAAAATTATGTGTTTAATCAAACTGCATTAGAGTTTTTAAAAGAACATCCTCATTACTGGTAAGTTTGAACTGCCCCAGTGTCTGTGCCCAAACTGCTTTTTATGTTTTAGGAGCTGTAGATCCAGATGACCTATGCCTCAGTATCCATCTACTGCTTTTTCTCCATTGCAGAGTAATATATTCTATAAATTGCTGCAGCTTCTCAGTGCAAATGAGTTAAAAATTATGTGTTCCTGTGAGTTCTTACCTGAATAGGAGCTGCACTTGAGGTGCAACAAGTACAAAATTACTTGGAACTACAGGTTCTACTACTACTGAAACTTGTGTCAAACACTGTTGTAATTTAAATCAAAACACTGACCTAAAAAGACCTAGTTCATCCAAAATAGATTTGGTTTGAGTTTTAGCTAAATTAAAGTGTATAATTTAGAAATAATGAAACAATCTTTCTCAATTTCAAACTTAGATTCTTTTTTGTTAAAAATATATTTTTTTACAGAAGTTATAAATTTTGATTTCCCTTGTTATTTGACAGTAAAACTCTTTTAAGAATACTAGAATTTTACAAGAACAAAAGCTTTTTTGATCAGGTATGGGCAGTGCTTTTTGAAAATGAGGTATTGTGCTAAACTATGAGGAGTCTAGTAAGAGTTTTAGTGGACAGAAAAAAAGGAGAATAGTCCTCTTTTTTTTTTTTTTTTTTTTTTAAGGGGAGGTGAGAGAGTGAGGTTTCCCTAGTTGGATTTTATGCTTCTTACCAGCTCAGAAATTATTTGACTTCTAAACTTGTGATCCTGGTATTCTTAGAAAAGCTTCTTTAGGTCAAAGTTTTCATGGTTTTTTTTAAGCTTTTGAATACTCACTCTCTTCTAAACTTCATTCAGTGTTAAAACTGTTGTCCTGTTTCTACAGAAGGATTGATTCAAAGGCCAATAGAAATGCTTAAAATTTATTTTTAAAAAATTATTTTGTGCCTATACCGTTATACTATATAATATGTCTATTTTAAGATTTAATATTAAGGTAGTGGCAGGTTGTGGCAGTCAAGCCTTGAAGCTCTTTTCTACCTGGCCCATGCCTTTGTTTTATAGAAAGTAGTAAACAGGTCCTGGGTCAGATCCTGCATGGCAGCAGCTGACTGGTGGTTTGTGCCAGCAGTAGACACAAGATAGCTTGCATTTATTTGAGAGCAAAAGGGAAAACTAATGGTGAGCCCTCAGCTATATCCACACATAACCAAATAGGTTCATGGATCTCACTGTATCTTTACAGCCTTCAAGAGGACTGAAGGACTTGTAGTCTCTTGAACTGACTCATGTTTCCGTAATAAAGGTTCTAATATTCAAATTGTCTGAAATTGTATCTCTTGGAGTTAACTGACAAATGTTTTCCAATATCTTTATAAGTTCAAATTTCTCTCTTGTACATAACTGTAATAAAACTCTTCTTCCCTAACAATTTTAGCCTCCAGGAGGCAGCAAAAATTTATGGGATTTGGTTGCTGTAATAAAGGGACAGGACGACAGTTTGCTTCCACAAAACTACTGCAAAGGAATCATGCATATGAAACACCTCATTAGATTTAGACTGGTAAGTGAAGCACAAACAGTATGTGAAAATGGTTGTTAGTCCCTATAGTATTTCGCCATTTAAAAATAACATTCAGTGCTTTACAAAAGGTCTCAACTTCATATCCAAAGATATTTGTGTAATACCAGTTCTTCACTGCAATACTAGTCTGTTACAACAGTATCTAGCTGAGTCTGTGTGACTTCATGTATTCTCAGTGTTAAAATGCTAGGTTACAGTTATTAACTAGAAAAGCATTTTTCAAAACAATTAAAAGCAATTGCAAGCAATCATCACTACAGTTTCAGCTATGAAGCTATTTGTCTTGCCTATTACATACAGTGTACTTTTATATTCAGTAAAGTCAAATTATTTGATTGTATAAACATGAAGTGTGTAACTATGTTCAGATGCATAGACAGAGGAATTAATGTCTGAGAATGAGGGAGAGTCAGCAGAAGTATGTTTTGTAGCTCTCTGGAAGAAGGATTGGCATGAACCTGTCCTTAATACAGATACACAGCTTAAGAGTGACTTGGATGAGAAAAGGAAATTCAAGTACTAGGCCATAAATTTATTAGTAGCTGCATTTATGAATATGCAACCAGATACACAGTTTGGGTAGAATCTGAAGATTCATCATTCTGTCAGGAAGTTCTTAGGAGTACTAAAGAATCCCATACTCTAATGACTGGCTTGTAAGTAGCGGAAAGATGATCTACTGGTATGGATCAGGGAATGCACTTGCCAGCCCCAGGCCTAATACTTGCCAGGTATCACCTGTTGTTTGCTGTTACATGCTGTCTCTTTTGCAAAATCACAGGCTCTTTTAGAGTGCCCTATGTTACTGATGACACTCAAGTGATTAAAGTTTATTAGTGTTGTTGACTGTAATAATAGTAGCTGCTCTGCTAATCCTATGAAGCTCTGTTTGTGTGTCTGTGTGTCCAAAACAACAGTTTTCTCAGCCAGTTAGCCTGAGAAGACATTAAATCTTGACCTGTGCAGTGCCAGCAGTCTGGTTACTCCTGCAAAATTACTTCATGCATTTATAACTCCAGTGACCTAGAGTAACTACAGTAATTGCTGGTCTTTCTGTGGATCTGGATTAAGTGTTCACATTAATTAAAAGCATTTTTTCCCCTTCTTGCTGACTTAGAATCTTGTTTGGAAGCTTTAAGAGAAAGTATGAGGTAGAGTAATGCTGACTGCTTTTTGAGGACTGCAAATACTCTCTTTTCCTTAGGAACTAAATAATGGCACTGCAGCACCTATACATTTCAGGATGAAGTAAGGATGTAGAGCAACACTGTTTTTCTGGTTTTAGTAAACAGAGAGGATGCATTGGAGACTTTAGCATGAAAATAATGAAAAATATAGAGGTGCTGAGGAAAAAAATAATGTAGTATGTTTTTAAAAAAAACGAAACGGATTCTTGGGAGCTGCCATTGGTTTACATGGCAGTTTACTTTGATGAAGAATGTTCAAAATTCATTCTCCATCTTCCATATATGGTTCTGCAAAGTCATGAATAGCCAAATGCCATCATTGTGCATTGAAGATAGAATTCAACTGAGAATTCTTGTAATAGGAATCTCCCTTTTTTGTTTGTTTTTTTTTTTTTTTTCCCTGTACAATAGCCAAATGCCATCATTGTGCATTGAAGATAGAATTCAACTGAGAATTCTTGTAATGGGAATTTTTTGTTTGTTTTTTTTTTTTTTTTTCCCTGTACATATAATTCTGTTGCAGTTTGTTTGTCAGACCATGCCAGGTGAAGAAATTTAGTCTTATCTTCCCAACTAATATAAAAATTGCAGAAGTTGGGAATATAAATAATTTCTTGGCCATAAGGTTAATGGGGATGACAGATCAAATCACAGAGCTTGTTGTCTACCAGTTAAGCCTACTGTCTTTGTTATTTCTTTGTGTGGACATCATTATAATAGTAATATGTACAATTTTCAGCTCTGTATGGTTTATGTTTACAAATTATTATTTTTTAAGTTTCAAAATATCAAGATATTTATGAGGGACATCTGGATGAATTACTATCATATATGAGAATAAAAAATGAAGTTATTATAGGAAGACAATAAAAATGTATATGCACAATAAAACACTAACACATTTACTTTAACAACATAAATATAGTTCACTGTAATCTCATTGAAATCTCTTTCAATTAGCCTTTTTGCTAAAGAATTTTTTTCTTAAATGATAACCTTTATATTCTGTTGTAATATTTAGCAATAGTTCATTCTTAAGGAAACTTTTTTCATCACAGAAAACTTCTTAATCTTTTTTTTTTTCCTCTCAGTCCAAGGCACAAGAACTGACAACAGTAAAGATGTCTAAATTTGGAGGTGGTATTGGTGCACCAAGCAAAGAGGAAAGACTCAAAGAAGCTGCAGAAATACATTTAAGATTAGGACAAATTCAGCGATATTGTGAGCTAATGGTAGAACTTGGAGAGGTAAAATATCAGAACAATATTGAAGAATAAAAAAAAATGAAGGTTTCTGAAAACCAGCTACCCTAGCAAAGATGGGGATGCAATGAATGGGTCACAAGTCCCCAAAAAAGTAATCTTGTTCCACTTATTTTTAACAAATGCAGTGTAAAGCATAACTCATTTCTTATTTAACTCTTGGGAAATATATTTTTAATGGAACAAAAGTTACACTAGTTTAAAATATGGCTGCTTCTCAAACAGAAATGATTATGTTAAATGTATTACTGCTTTCTTCTAGTGGGATAAAGCTCTCTCAGTTGCACCTGGTGTATCAATGAAATATTGGAGGAAGTTAATGCAAAGGTAAGCTAATTAAAATATGATGGCAAATTGTAGCTTCAGTTCATAAAAGGACACAGACAAGTGGGAAGGATGGATACTATTACCAGATACACTTGTCATTTGTTACAGCATTCTAGTGATGGTACTTTTTGTTCAGTAAGCTTTGGGGTAGAATTGTGGAGGATTTCGACAATAACTTTGTGTACAAGAATCAAAGGCTTGAAAATAAATTGCAACTTTATAAACTCTTTAGATGCAGCATTCACAGTTTGTAAGTCTGGAAAGGCAGATGGGTTTCAGTGAACTTTATTCAGCTTCATCTAACACCTACACCATGTAGTTAAGTTTGGTGATTGTTCATATGTATCGTTCTTTCTTGTTTATTTATTCATTTGCTTAATTAGGAGAGCTGATCAGTTAATTCAGGAAGAAAATGATGATGTCATCCCATATTGTATAGCTATTGGAGATGTGAAGAAACTGGTTTCTTTCTTTACTTCAAGAGGTCAGCTTAAAGAGGCTCTACTTGTTGCACAGGTATTACTACATGTATACAAGTGTGGGAGATATATTTAGCTCTTAGCTTGTAAGTCAGAATATGACATGCATATTTAAAAGGCAAAATAGCTGAATAATGATGCCCTAGTCTTTACTTCCATGTGGTATTGACCAGTTTTTATACAGAAATCATAAGAAGGAGGTACCTCATGTTTACAGATTTAAAGCCTGATTCTTCTAAACTGCAACCAAATGACCATAATGCAAACTGATGTGTTCAATTTCATTTGAAACAGAACCTGATTTTCAACAGCTGGTATTGCCCTTAACATCAGATTAATGTAGAATTTGATTTCTCTTGAATTTCTATTGAGAAATCTATCTGTAAGTTTTAGCAAAATAATGTACAGAATGTAACTTTGACACATGCTTAGATTGTTTTGAACTATAGTTCAAACTATTGTGTTTGAACTTGAAAGCAAGTTAAAGCTCCAGAAAGATCTTAATTTTTCATGTAAGAGAGGTATTGCAGAGCTACTATAATTCATAGAATAGTCTTTGTCTCAAAGGTTTAATAAGATAATAATGAGCAACAAAATGCCAGAATTTACCTTCCTTTGTAACTGAGCCCTGAGATTTAATGGTATTATCCCAACTATATCTTAAAGCATGTGAAATAATTTCAAAAAAATCACAGAATCAATTAGGTTGGAAAAGATCTCTGAGATCACTGAGTCCAACCCTAGACCAGCCACCACTTTGTCAACTGATTTAATTTTAACCCACACTGATCTCTTTGTAATTAATGTTAGAAATAAATTATTGTCAGATACAAAGAAAAGTTCACCTTAAGCCACTATATGCCAAATCTTTCCAGATTTGCTGGTATACCTGCTGAGCAGTATCTATGGACTTCATTCTTCCCTCAGAGCTTCTTGCTCCTTGGGGTGTAAAAATCAAGGTTGTAGCCTTCCCCATCCATTATATCCAAACGCTGAAGAATTCTGCACAAATGCATAGGAAGGAAGTCTCTTGCTTCAGTAGAATTGTTGTATGGCTAGATAAAACTAGGCTAAGATTTAGCTATGAATAAGTTAATTAATTTATACATTCAAATATTTTCTTTGTTATAACTGGGCTTTAGAAAGTTTTTTTTTGTATCTTAGATTATTTTTATTGTTATTGAAAAAATTAATTTCATCTTCAGTTTGAATTCTGCATTAATTAATCTATATTTTATTCACTTCCAGGCAGCTTGTGAAGGAAATATACAGATGTTACCACTCTCCACAACAAGTGGAACTTCAAATTCTGGTGGAAATAATACGGATGATTATAATGAGTAAGTTGTTCTAGTTTATAACTATAAACCTCATTTTACTGCAGAGTGTAAAATTATTAAAGGTGATAAAGCACAGTGGTTTAATTTGGCATCAGCAATGTAGAATTCAACAAAATATTACATCTTCTAGTACTTATAGAGTTACTATCTACCTGATGCTACACTAATTTCCCTCTTGTGCCTCCTGGCACAAAATGGAATATTCATATGTGTGCATTATAATTATAAATGTCCTTTTCTCTTGCTCGATATGTAAGATGCATTCCTGTGCCCTAAAATATATAGCATATTAACTGAGAACTTTTGGTGAGTAAGATTTAGCATTAACAAGTATCTGTGATCTCCTGTTATTACACATAATCTTCTTCTGAAGCTTTGCTCTTTGTCATAATTGAAGGTTCTGATAATATAAAATAAAAATCAAACTGAGAAAGTAGGTTTAGACTAGATATTAGGAAAAAGCTCCTTACTGTGAGGCACTGTAACAGGTTGCTCAGAGAAGCTGTGGCTGCCCCATCTCTGGAAGTGTTCAAGGTCAGTTTGGATGGGGCTCTGAGTAACCCAGTCTAGGGGAAGGCATCCCTGCCCATGGCAGGGGGCTTGGAACAGAATGATCTTTAAAGTCCCTTCCAACACAAGCCATTTTATGATTCTCATTGTCCGTGCCATTAAAAAAACCCAAATATGCACCTCTCCTTGTCTAGAACAGTGCTCAAAAACCTGAATTACATTTTCAAGTTATAGTTGTAGTAACAAAACCAGTTTGGAGCCTGTGTAGTTACTTCATTTACATGAGCAGTTTTTGAGCAATTAGAGAAGTACTAGTGCAGAATTTATAGGTACAGATTGGATATCCAAGTATTTGATTTTCCTTCTGTCAATCTGAAGAGACATTTCCTACTGATACAAACTTTGGGAAACTGACCCACCTCAGTATGCATCAACATAAGCAGTCGATGAAGCTCAAACAGATTGCATTTTTCAAGCTAGTATGGTCATTGTCTGTGAGCCAAATATTGCAACTTTTAGGGTACAGAATCAAATGTAGTGAATTTTACATAAAGTAAGACCCAAGGCACTCCAACCTTAATGTGACCTTGTAGAATTTCATTTTTCTTCTTGCAGTCTCCTGCAGAAAGTCAGTAAAGAACTGGCAGATTGGTATTTCCAGGATGGCCATGCAGTGCTTGCAGCATGTTGTCATTTGGCTGTTGAAAATATAGAGGTAATTTTTTTTTTTCTTTAACGATGTAAAAGCCAACATTTATTTCTTTTTCACATCTCTACACATCTTTTTAAACTTATGTATCATATTCTAAAATGGTATTTGGCATTTGATTTTTTTACACTTAGGCAGAGTTAGATAGTTATAGCATTTAAGTTAGTAGCAGAGGTCCCTTGATTCTATTAAATTCAAGGTTTCTCTCATGCACAGAAGGTAGTGTGTTGCTGCTGAATTTTATTTACAATATCTTGCTATATTAGACAATAGAAGATACTTAAGTACCTTGGATATATACATCTAAGGGTTACTATTTATGGTGACCCAAAATACCCATTCAGAACTAGAAGTTATTGTGTTCAAGAAGATGCAATCATCCACCTTGAAGAATTTGCAGTCTAAATGAAGAAGTAAATAGGAAAAGAAAACCCCACCCCTCAGTACAAAAAATAGAACTGACATGTACGAAACATTTTCTCATGTTTTTTATTTGCTTCTAGTTTAACAAATTGTTTCTTTTCCTCATTATATCTGGATTTTGTTGTTGATGACTTAACATGTTTTTCCTCCTCTATCCCCCCAAATAAATATAATTTCATCCCAATGAGCTATTCTGAGAGAAATTGAGAATCAGTAAATTCCTGTATTTCTAAATAGGCACAACAACAGATGTTGTGTAGTCTTGTAGGGTTTGACATTCTGCTGTGCCTATTGGTAACTATACTCAGTAAGAGAGTAAGAACAGCACATTTCCTTCCCATTTTCTGGGGTTTTTGAGTCTCCTTTCATTGAAAGGGAGGGGGGAATATACACTCTGAATGCTAGTGTCCTTAAGATTAGATGGAATTCCTAGCATGCATTTCAGGTATCCTATTTATGTGATCTCTTCATTTGAGTAAAGGAAGATTCTGCTAAAGGAAATCTATTTGGTTGTTTAAAAGCACATTAACACATGGTGCACAATTATTTACTCATTCAGGAGACCCAAAATATATAAAATTGAGTTTAATTACTGTAGATTTTGTCCTTCTGTAAAAGGTATCATAAGTGAATCTCATATGCTCCACATGATGAATGCCCAAAACTGCTTCTGTCCCTTAATGATATAACTTTTTCATTGAGCAAGCTTGCGATGGCAAACCTGATTCGTGGAAATGAACTGGAGCTGGCAATCAGTGTGGGTACTGTCTTGGGAGAAAGTGCAGCACAAGCAACACATTATGCACTAGAATTACTAGCAAGAAAATGTATGGCAGTAATAACATGGTAAGAATTTCTTAATCCAAAGAAGATTTTTTAAAAATTTTCTCCCTGACAAAGCAATCAAGGTGTGTCATTGTGAAACTTTTGTAGAGATCAAGCCACCATGGGAAGGGAGAATAAAAATTGCTGTTTGAATAAGAAATGCTATATTAGACCTTTGAAGTACAGGGCATGCAAATTTCTTCTTTAATCTCAAAATATAGTCTGTATGCATTGTAAATGCGAGAGGAGTCATTGTCAGAGAATGAAACCCACTGAAAAAAACACCCTGGCTACTTGGGCAATAGGTAGCTTATGAAGTCCTAGTTTGTACTGAATGAAAAGAATTGCTTCAAAAAAAATAAGGCTGGAATTGAGTTTAAAAGTCAAAAGGAACAGCTCAAGTAGGGTATGTGAAGTGATTTTTAAGTACTTGATTGAAAAATATAAAACTATAAGTCTGAAGAATTATCTTCTATTGGTATTAGGAACACAAGACTCCTGCAAAGATTTAAGGATGAAACAGGATGACTATTTAATTCTGCAGAAGTAACTTCTCTCTTGCATAGAGGGGAAGCCTTCTGGTAAAGTTTCTTTTCCTCATCATAGTGGTTTTACTTTGAAAAAATACTTGTTCTTCTTCTTTTTTATCTAACACTGAAAAAGCAGAAAGCCTTTCTAAGGTGTATTTGGCAGCTGTATAACTGGTTTGTAATTAACATTCCACAAAAAATGTGTACTTAAACAGTTAAGGATCAATTTTTCTTCTACAGTTAGTATTTGCTAATGTATTTAGAGGTAGTCTGAGAGAAAAATAGTGGAACTCCTCTCTACAGAACATTTAGCTTTCATTAGACAATGAAGCATTGTGGAAAAAGATAAAATAAGAAACTGGTAACTTGCTGCTTTCATTTTGCAGTGGTTTAGCATGTCTGCATTGCACCAGTCTTAATAGGATTGTTTTGGCAACTCCATCTGCAGCTTTTAAGGTGTCTGAAGCTCTTTCATTGTTAAGGGTGTTTTTTATTCAGCCTCCGATAGGAAGCACTGGATGTGGAGTTAAAAAAAAAACAGTGTATATTTTTTCCAATTCCATAACAAAAGCTTGTTCTGATCTCAGGGCCATAATTACTGCTTATAATGGTATGGCATCTCTGTTTATGTCCATAAAGGTTCTGTAAACTTACAGCATGTGTACACTGAAGTCTACATGGTGATAAAGTCTGTATGTGATACAATTGTAAAGTGATGTACTGCATATTGCCCAAGTCTGGATTTCTCAATGGGTTTCACACGCTGCACTGAACACCTTGCAATCCTGGATTCTGATTTTCAGCCATTGCAGCATATTTTTTATATTCTGTAGGAAAAGATCAGAGATTCATGAATCTTTTTTGTAATAAAGAGATTTTCACACAGCATAATCCCCTTGGTTAACTGATTCATAAGATCATGTATAGAGAAGGTGGAGTTCAAGGGTCTCTGATATTTTAAGGGCTTCCTTTTTAAATTTACTGGTTGTTATGCTTAAGGATATTAGTTGGAAACATTTCACTGTAGTGAAGCACTTAATTGTGGACAGCAAAAGGAATACCAAAAGGATCCTGATGAGTGAATAAAGAGATCAGTTACTGCTGGAATGTTTCTTGGGTTTTGGTTGGTTATTTTTAGAAATGTTGTAAAATATCAAATCAAGCCAAAAAAAAAATTTAAAACTAAACATTCATGCACTTTCCCAAACCTAGAGCCTTGATAAAATGTGTGAATGTAAAGGACACATTTTTATTTGTATTTAATACCTAAATACTGTCAAAAACAACTTTCTACTATTCAAATAGCTAGTCATATTTTACCAGAGGTACTGAATTCTGCATATGCAAACTGAGCCATCTCATTTTGATCTTTATACCCAACAGTGTTTTCAGTTTGATTCTTAAAAATCATTCCAGTTTCTTAAAATCTCCAGCTTCTTAAGAATCATTCCAGGTAGCACAATTTGTAGGCCATATTCTTCTTTGAATTCCTTTTTTTCAAATGAATATTGGATTTCAGTTTTTTGACAATTTCTAATCACTTAAAAAATCTTTAAATTGCTTATGAAGATTAGTACATATGAGTAAGTGATCTTGAAAACAGCTTAAGAACTTGTGAAATATCCTAGATTCTGGAAGAATGGTTCTGTAACTTGGAAAAGTGGCTGTTACCTAGTAATAATACCACAGATTTTTTTAAAGACCTTTTGGCATGAGTTTCTTTATGTTGTCAAAAGGCATAAAATAGAAAGCTATTTTTTTGTTGTTGCTGCTGAAGTCAGTTGCCCTGACCCTTAGATTTGTTGCTGTAGTTTAATTATTTTCTATGAGATATTTTCCCTGTAAAATAATACAAAATTTTGTTCAATACTGTTTCAATGTCTTCCTTTTAGCTTCCCATCACTTGGATACAGGTATTTTGCTTTTTTGGAGAAAGTTTAAGCTTATTTTTTCCCTTAATAAAGTCACACACTTTTCAAATTTCTCTAAGTGTCCTAATTTTTAATTGTGATTAATACTTGTAAGTGAGCTAGAAAGTAGTTGCAAATATTGGATAATAGCTTACTTGAAAATTTTTAAGCTAAGGATTACATTTTTAAGCTAAGGAGGAAATCAGTAGGATTTTTTGCCTACACAGGGGCAAGTCAGTCTTGAGGTTCACAGGAGAAATGATGTCTGCATGAATAGAAGAGTCACAGAATAACTAGTTATTAAAACTTAAATAGAACAATTTCCAAATAATTTCCTAATATTATACATTCCCTTCAGCTGTTTGTTGTGGGAAGGATAGGATAACAAATGGTAAAAAGTTTAGGAAAATGCAAGAAATATCAGTTTGCTAAAACAGTTTGCCTTTGAGAAGGATGAATATAGGTATCTCATTTTTTTTCTTATATAATCTCTCTATTTCTATGTCACGTGAGCACCAAGCCATTCTGGATGACTGAGAGATGTCCTATGTTGATGTCATGAAGCTTTAGAAGCCTGGAATTTTGAGGTTTCATGACACAGAACCGCATTATCATCTTTTCTCCTCTCAAATTGGAGAGTTCCTACTCTCCTTTCCCATCCCTGCTCACATGTTCTTCCATTTCACTTTGAAATGGTTCTGAGGCTTAAGAATTGCACAGCTGTTTAATTCAACCAACTAAAGCAACAGAAAATTAATGAATGACTTTCCCAATAAGGTGAATAATTAAGCCTCATTTATTGAACAAAAACAGTCTTAGGTACTGAGCTTGCTTGTGCACTTCTCTGGAAATAGTATTTTTTCAGTAAACTCTTATAAGGAATGTAAAAGAGAAAATAGCTTCCTTCTATTACAAACCATCAAGAGTAACCATATGTCATCTTTTGTTTGTGCAGGGATTTAGCAATTGATCTTCTTATGATGATCCCTGATAATAAACTGCAGTTAGTAAAACTATGTGCTTTTTATCCTGGATGCACAGCAGAAATAAATGACCTGCATGAAAAGGTACAACATAAAACAATTTACCTGAATCTAATAAGGTTTTGAATTGATTTATTTACTAATTTCAAAACACATAAGGCTATATAAAACCATAGGATGAATTTGTCTTTACCATCTTATATGTAACATATTCTTTTCTCCTCTATTAGTCTTTGTTGACTTGATTTTCAGTATGGTACAATAAATGTAGTTCTTCATTTCTATCCTTTAGTGCACTCTTTCCCTGACACGTTACTTTTTGAAGTAGCTTATGATCTTCAGAATTACTTGTCAGTACAATTTATAACCTACTAGACGTGCAGCCTAATCATGTTTTGGCAGATCAACTTTCTATTATCTGAATTGTTGTATATTTTATGCCTGTAATGCCATAAATGTCCTCTTTCCTCTTCAGCAGCAGAAGGATCTGCTTTGGTTGCTCTCCCTTAGGGTGCAACTCAGACTGCACATTTATTAAACAGTAGCAAAAACTTCACAAAAACATTAGCAGTGAAAACTGGTACTGCTTAAATTAAACTGACAGAGCCTTTTCCAGTGTTGCTCTGGGCTAGATGACTTTCTTAATGCGCATTATATGCAGGTATGTCTTTCAATTACTCCTTCAGAGAGAATTTTTTCTTAGTGTTGTGTGCAAACATCAGTATTTCTCTGCATCTTAGAGAAGTGTTTGAACATTTCAGTAATTTTCTGGCAAAATGTTTGTTTTCCAGTGTAATCTTCCTGATGTGGAAGAATGTATGCGAGTGGCAGAGACAATTCAGGCAGACGGGGACGTATTTGAAACAATAAAGTACTATCTGTTAAGCACAGAACCTGAAAAGGCTCTCCCTGTTGGCATTCAGTATGTGAAAGGTAGGTAGTTGGATGAAGAACAATTTTAGAGCAAAAGTCATCTGTATAACTATCCTCATGTGATATTTTCCTTTTTATTTTTCAACAGAACAACTTTGTGGCTCAGATTGGACTTTAGATTCAGTCTTTCCATATCTTGATCTTTTAAGTTACATACGGACTGAACAGTTAATGTTGCCTAAGTGTAGTGAGTGAGTATATTTTCCTGACTTAGAAAAGTGGAACTTTCCTTAAAGGAGGGACACAAAAAAAATTCTAGCAAGCATGCTGGAACTGTTTCCAGTCTGGAGAATAGAATGTGGACTCTCCCAAATTATGAAGGTTTATCAAGAGAAAAAAAAAAAAGATGTTTTACTGCTTCTTTCTCTGTGGAGTATTTACAACGTGTGAATCAATGTTGATCTTATGTGAAGAGCTTTACTTTGATCAGCTTTGGTTTCAGTTTGCTGAAGTGATATCACAAATCATGTGGGCTTTTCTGTCAAAGTGTTAAGTAATGTTGGGCTGTCACTCTCAGAATTAACTCTAAAATCATTGGATAGATCTGGTTCACCTTTATGATGAATGGTTGCAGTCAGGCCTAGGTGCCTACGCAAGTATACGTGTCAAGAACAAAAAGGAGAAAAGAGTTGGGGAAGCTTGGTGAAACTGAAATCTACACTAATATTTGGGGCAGTTTTATTTACATTTAGAGTTCTATCACATTAAAAGGTCTGAGTGATGTTTGTGTAACTCTGTTTAATTGTGCTTAAAAATTGTACTGTATATGCCATTTAAAATTTAATAATGGAAATCAATATAAAGCAGATGGAGTCTGTTTTAACAAGTCCATGACATAGAAAGTAAGCATAATCAGTGAACATATATTCTCCACAAAAGGTGGATGGATAAATTAGGTTTTAAAATTATAACATGAATATGAGTTTGTTTAATGTTTTTCCAAATGCTTGTTTTTCATGATTGATACTTGTTCATTTATAGGTTTCGGAATGAGTTGCTGATTTTGTGTGGTTATGTTGGTGCTTTACTTGCTATCAGAAGACAGTACAACAGCATTGTACCTGCACTGTATGAGTATACAAGGTAAACTGTGTTTTCATTAACTCTTTGTAATCTCAGTCCTTATTATGACATATGCCATACATTGAGCCTACTTCTTCTCATCACATCCCAAAAAATGAAAACGTGTCTTTCCTCTTAGCTATCATCATGTCTGAAACTTGGTGAGAGGATTGGGAAAAACGAACATCTGTTTGTTGCTTTGTTTTTTTATTTTCTGAATCTAAAGCAAAAACAAGATTAAATATCTTTTATAGAAAGGCTTTTCTGATATGGCTGTTATTAGACTAGTAACAAGCAGTTTTTGAGACTCAGTTTGTGATACTTTTGGCTGTAAGGCTTTCAATTACTTAGTATATAAAGAACCACAGAACAATACCACTCAAAGTTTCATTCTTGGATTGCCCAATATCTTCAAGACTCACAGATTTTTAGTTTCTGGCCCATCTTAAACTGGACACTTACCTGCTTAAGGTGGACAATTTACATGCTTAAGCAGGACATTTTTAAGATACACCAACACAAATGAAAGATGGCAGAATTAGGTCAGGTATTAATTGTCCCTATATTATATTTTGATAAATAAAAAATGCATCCACTGCAAGGGCTTTGAAACGCTTACCTGCTTAAGGTGGACAATTTGCATGCTTAAGCAGGACATTTTTAAGACACACCAACACAAATGAAAGACGGCAGAATTAGGTCAGGTATTAACTGTCCCCTATATTATATTTTGATAAATAAAAAATGCATCCACTGCAAGGGCTTTGAAACTGCTTTCTGCAGGTGAAACAAGGCTGTCCCAATGTATGTGTTGAACCATGTTTCTCTAATTGCATTTTTACCATATGTGGTACATGCAGGCAAAATGGATCCTTAATTTTAGTAAGATTGACAATATTAAGAAATAAAAACACATATAGCCTTGAAATATAGAGTGGCCTTAAGCTAAAAAATACAGCAAATTAAATAAGGTGTAAATAGGGATAATTAAAATAAAATTTAAATCTAAAGCTATACTTCTGTAACTTCACAGAATCACTGAATAATGAGGTTGGAAGAGACCTCTAAGATCATCGAGTCCAACCTATGTCCTAACACCTGTGAGATTCTGTGCTTCTGTGAACTTGTATGAGTGTTACTGAAGTTTAATATAGTGTATATTGTGAAGGATCAATTTATTTCCATAGTTATTCCATATCCAATCAGAAATAGTTTTACTTTACTATTGTCTATCATGTTTTGCTTTTAAGAAAATAGTCATTAGGATTAATTAGGATTTTAATTACTTGCATTCCTTTTCAGTCAGCTTTTAAAAAGACGGGAAGTATCTGTACCTTTGAAAATTGAACACCTTTCTGAGGAATTAGATGCGTGGAGAGCTTGCACACAATCAAACAAGTAGGTGGAAAAATATAAAATTACCATGAGTGAGACTAGTAGTATTTAACTGTTGTTAAATACTACTAGTCTCACTCATATATATAAAAGTCTCACTCATATAAATAAAAGTTGTTCCCTTTGTAAAGTCTGAATGTAACTGCTTTGCGGGTCCTAACTTCTAACACATATTAGGAAGCCAAGTTGAAAACCAAATTTCTTTCATGTTCCTAGGCCTACGGATGAGTTGCCATGCACCCCGCCCTCCGAATCACAGAGAGCGCTGTATTCAGTACTTGTCTCGCGAATTCAGGGGGAGCCTCTGAAAGGAATGGTTGGGCCAGACTGTGTCACTGGATCAAATCTTCCCAGTCACTCAGATGTTCATACCTCTTGTTTGACAGGGCTAAAGATCCAGGTATGGTTTCAGAGAGCTAAAGTGGTCTTTCTTGCAGATAGCACTGACTACTAGTGAGGTTGCCATAAATCAAAAGTCCCTCCCACCATTTGGCTGGAAAAAGGTTTACCCTGTTATCACAGGAGCAGAGTTAAAACTGACAGGCAGTGACATCTGCTATATAAGAAAGGCTGTATAGAGAATTGTCCAATCAAACAGTTGTCATTTCCCAAATCCACAACCTTTTAATTTACATAGGAAATATCTCCTTTGCCACATGTTGTGTCTAAAATGCATGTATCTTACTGGCTACTCCCTCACCACAGCTTGAATAAAAGCCAGGAAATTGTCTTTAATCACATACTAACATTCTTCTGATTTTGGTTTTTATTACTATGGAAATGCATACTATAAAACTTGGAATTCATGACTAATTAAATCCAGACATTAGAAGACTAAATATTCAAATATATTTATTTATCACTCACACTGAGTTTTCTGATTAATACTCATTAGTCCTTATAACACTTCTGTAGCATATCTTGTTATTTTAATAAAGAGCAAATGGAAAGATCCTGAACACACTACTCCTGACTCCAGACAATGCCTCAGTGTGAATTTACTTTCCTAGGTGATACCAAATCTGTTTCCTCTGTCCAGTGTAAGATGTCAGCCCAAAGAGTAACAGGCTTAGGCACTAAGCAGGATGGATAATTTTCTGAAAAAAATTAGAGTTTATAAAATGCTAGTGGGATTTTTGAGGTAAAAAAAATTCTCAACTGCTCACCATCAATCTAAAAAATGCTCTCAACACTTCCATATTAGATCAGTAGTCTCTGTCTATGGCTGTACTCAACATTGCTAACAGCCATGTATAGCTGCCAATGTTATAGTCCATTCAACAAGAGTAGCAAATATGGTCTCACCAGCTTGTCATCTACAGGTTCCTTATTTCTGGATTAGCATACATTAGGAGTCATGGCTTGGGGCATGCAGGTCAGCTCAACAATCAAAATCAGTTAATACTAAAGCAGGGCAGCCTACTTGTATGGGTTTACAAGTTTTACGTAGCAAGTTTGGAGAGCATAACTTTAAGAAAGGGCTGAAATGGAACTGCAGCTTTGAGAGCAGGTTTTGTCAAATTAATAAATTAGCAAATAGCTCTTTTTCTGTCATATGAATGAGTACTTTGTCCTTTTCATAGTGAATAGTTCAAATTATTCTGTAGACGCTTGTTTTCAAACAATTCATGGAGACATTATATTGGGGGATATTTTGTGGATGGGAAAAAGCACAGATCAGCAGAAATAATAATCATGACCATCATGAAATATGGACAGTATTCTGAAGAAAAATGCTTGTTGCCTCAGTTTCTAATTCAAGCTACATTAAAGTCTGGAATAATTAACAAGCATATATAAAATAACAATAAAACACATCAAACAGAAAATTTAAATATTATGAAAGGTTGGGTTGACAGATTTGGGAACATAAGTGCCCTCAATTCATAATGTGTAGCTGTTATCAGAGTTTTAAGTGAGTGGGGAAAAATTTCTGTATGGATATAGTGGATAGGTCTAAACAAGGTTTTTATGTTCTTCTGAGATAAACTATGCTTTTTGTTATGGCCTTTACACAATCCATGTATAATTTCTTTTTCTTTTCCCTCCCAAACATTTTTGCTTTACAGGGTCCTGTGTTCTTCCTTGAAGATGGAAAATCTGCTATTTCACTGAATGATGCTTTGATGTGGGCCAAAGTGAATCCTTTTTCACCATTAGGAACAGGAATACGACTTAACCCATTTTGATGAGGTGTTTCCTCTGTACTTTATAGTGCTTAAAATAACACTCTGGGAGTCAATGCTGATTTAACCTTGATTGCCAAAGGATGGAGAGGTCAATTACTTGAACTTTTAAAAATTTTAAATGAGAAGAAAAGGATTTCTATACAAATGTTTGTTCAGAATCCAAAGAAAAAAATTATTTGATAATCCAAAGAAAAAGTCCTAATTTCATATATAGCCATGTCATTTTTTTTAGTAGGAATATTGTTTTCAGACAATTATTTTTGTCAACTCTGTGTGAATAGATGCTTTGTAAAGTAAGCAACTATCTACATATTACTAAAATATTGATAATAAACTGTGAAACCCATAAATACTCTTCCAAATATATAATCATAGAATAACTTTATTGATAGCAACTCCGAACTTTTTTAGAATGACTGGAATATTTTGGCTGTTTCACACTGTTCCCCTTTTTAATTTGAACTAATTTTGACACAGGGTTGTATAGCAAAAGTAAAATTTAAAGAGTTGGTGTTTTTTTCATCCACTTGTTATTGTGCTTTAATAGCAGTACAAATAGAAGGTCACTTATGTTTTATTTAGATTATCTATATTTTGTTTAGGTTTTCTATTTTTTATTTATTTGTTTAGATTATCTAGATTACAAAATTGTATTTTCTAATAGAATCATATTTGGCAACATTCCCTGTTATACTTTCACCAGAGGCTAAAACTCTTTATAATTTTTTTTGTTTTTTTAACAAAGTCTTTGTATAGAATAAACAGCATATTTATTGAAGTTATTTAACTATGCTATGTACATTTTAAAAGCTTGTTTTCTCTTTACATTTTGTATTAGTTATACATATAATACGACAGCAGTAAGTACTTGTGCATATATATTTTTATTTACTATATCTGCGCTCAAATGGAAAAACAGTTATGGCAATAGAATACTAAAAATATTTAAAGCTGTGTATAGTATGGAATTTAATTATAAGGCAAATATTATTCTTGTTAATAATTCTTATAATCAGAATTGCTCACCTTTAGAAAAGATGCCTTGGTTGCAATACTTTTTATTAGTTTAATGGATGGTACATAGGCAGAAATTTACTTTATCTGTTCTTACATTTTTTTGCTTGTACTTTAAAATAAATTTTGACATTTATTTGAATTCCTGATAGTTACATGAAATATAAAGAGGCTACAATTAAAAATTGGCAGAATTATTTCTATAACAACTGTTGTAAAACTGGAAATAGTATAGGGTCTCTATTTAGTAGATCCTATCAAAAAAGCCTCAATTTAGAGGTAAGCCTTGCCCTTATTTAACTATAGAAATAACAATGCCACCATGCTGGAAAGGTGGGATGGAGATTAGAAATAAAAGAAAATCCTGGGTTTGTTTTTTCCACTCTGTCTTTAAAATGGTAAAATTTCCCTCTGGTGATGTTCTAGAGTATTATTACAGGGTTTCTGGTGTAAGATTATATTGGGCGGAGGGAACACAACTGTTTTGTACCCTAAAAACCCCATTTTTGTACATACTCAGGTGCTGGAACTGAATATTTTGCTTCCTGCAAGTACTCTTTGAAAATGTTTTCCCTTTATTTATTCCATGAAGCTTGCAGAAGAAGAATTTGATTTCAGAAGTTAAAATTCATAATTTTTGAAAGAATTTTCCATCAGCCAGTATCTGATCTTGCTTCTGTCAAATGAAAGATTATCTGTCTTTTAGCACATAAATCTTACAACCTGTTATGTATAAGTTCTTGATAGAGAGGTGGAGAGCAAACATGAGAACTGAACATGCAGCCCCATGACTGAGGATTGGGATCAGAAGTATTGACTCAACTGCCATTCTACTATATTTAAAATCTTTTGTTGTATCATAATGATTTTTATTAATATTTCACAATTAAAATATATTGAATATGTAGTATAACTGCATCAGTGTGTTGCACATAAATTGTGCCTTAACATGGAATCTTGGGCAAATCTACTCCCTCTAAATTACAGAGTGAGGGTTAAAAATTCATTCCTTACTAAAATACAAAAATTAAGTCAAAGGGCATTTTTTATATTGGGGATCCATCAGGAAACAGTCATTGTGAATAACATGAGGTTGCATTTTCCTTGAAGTTGTTTGTACAGTGGTGAGTGAGGGGAATATGCAGAAAAGGTTGTAATTGTGTCTGCTGTTACAGCTGTGCTTGCAACTGTCAACTGGTTCATCAGTTTCAAAAATAATTTCAGATTGTTTGCAAATGTGTAGCTTCATTGTCTAGTATAGCAAGTCAAATACAGATATCTCCCCCTTAATATTAAAGAATACTTTGTCTTCAAAAGACCGTTTGACTCCTCTGTAAAAGTCATATTTCCATTTAAATGACAAAACATACGAAGCTACACAGCTAGTGCTTTCCAATTACTATTAAATCTCTGTTATGTTCAATATCCCTGCAAAACCAAATCCATTGTTTTTTGGAAATAATCTGTCCAAGAGTACTGACATGTTTATAAGCTTCAGAGACAGCCCCACTGGCAACTGCAGTCTGAGATAGGAGATGTGGCACTTTAAACCCATGTTGTGGGCTGGAATGATGCCCTGTCTGTTCCACGCTGCGCAGGGCTCCCGCCAGGCTGGGCCAGTGATGCTGCACTGGCCATGGCCACAGCCGAGCGGCCCCGCAGCCCCAGACAGGCCCAGGAGAAGCACAGGGAGAACCTTGTACTCCACGTGCTTTCTCACCCACCAGTGCAGTGCCTCCTGTGGGTCTCTGCAATACTTTCAGCAAGCCTACAGGATTTCACTGTTGGATTTCCTTCCAGAACTGACATATCACACTGCTTTTTCTTTTTTCCTGACAATGCCTTAGAGCACTTTTTAACTGGTATAACAGTTCATTTAATAAGAACTTCGTTGTAATAGGACACTTAAACAATGCTCTGACCTGGGATACTGTTTGCTTCAGATCCTGGTTCCTAATATTTTAATACATAATTTAACATTTATTTCATACTAAGAATTCAACCCATCAAAGCCACATTGAATAGGGCCCTGACATCATGAGAACAGTAACAAAACTGTCATTTCTGGCTAAATAAGGGATCATTTTCGGAAGGGATTTTACCAAGTACTGACACCAGGTATTTCACTGCCCTGCATTTTTGGTATGTGGCAGTAGCATGCTCTGATCTGCCAGAGACCTGTCCCAGTGCGTAGTCCTGCCAGGCCAACCACATCCATTCCCTCTTTTGTTTGTCCCTGTCACATAGTAACAGAAGCAATGCCCCATTCAACTTGGCTCAGCTTGCCAAAATGAACTCAATTTTCACACAATTATCTGTTAGCAAAAGATGGAAATTTATGTTGAAAAGTGCATCTTGCCTGAGATGGAAGTAATGGTATTACCACAAGCCAGTTTCTTCTGACTAGTCTCCTACTCTGTGTATAATTACACAAAAAAATAGTACCAAATACCTGTAAACTACAAATATGGTCTTTGGTTGGTGGCAGGGATCAGGGAGAACGGTGAGAATGGATATTGCAAATGCCACAAGAGTATGAACACACCTATTTGCAACGAGATGGCCTGGACCCTGGTGTGACCCTCAGCAAAACTTTTATCTAGTTGTGTTACAAACAGGTGTTTTGCAGAGTAGCCATGTTTGCTCCAATCTGATATAGGTGTATAGAACATAGAGCTTTTTTTGCCACTTTGTCTGAATCAAACTTGAAAAGTGATGTGTACACCTGAAGGTGAGGCTCTAAATGAGCTCATTCTATGTGGAGAAGGTCAACAGTGCTGTGGTTTGATTGGCACTTCAAAGTTAGGTTCTTTGTCAGAGTAATACACAGTAATGGTGCTGTGCCTAAAAACTACAAATTGCTACTTTCTGGATGAAAATAAAAACCACTACACTCACCCCAATATAGACTCAGGATATGATGGACTTCTAAGCAGCTCCTCATATTTGCATTTGACTTTCCTTTACAAGGACTCCAGAAAAGCCTCCTAACTAGAGTTTTTGCAGGGAACAGAAGCAAATTAAGGTTATTTAACAGTGTCAAGACAGCTACATTTTTTATTAGGAGCACATTATTTAGCAACTGAGTAAGCATTCCTCTTTGTGAAAGCTTCCTCTATAGTTAGTTCCTCACTTATCATCTTTCCAGTAGAAACATAAATACTGAAAAGAGTCACTGAAAAGGAATGGAAGAGGGTGAATCACCAAGGGCAGATGACAAGTTTTTATGTCCCAAGCTTTGGTTTGCAGGAACTGTATCAGTCACTGAGAAAGTAATCTGTTCTCAAAGGAACAGCAAATGAGAAGAGGGAAAGGAGGAGTGCTGCGCTTTAATCTATTCAGATCACAATCACCAAAAATTCAAGGGCATAAGCAAAGCCTCAGGGTTTTCTAATGTCTCTTGGGGGTGTCACCATTCTATCTCTGGCTAGAGTTGAACAATACCTTTTCACAGAAAAGCCTGTTGGAGTATTTTGGGAATTTGCAACAGGATTTTTGGAGCTGGATAAATATTTACAAAACAGGTAGTAAGAGAAATAATGTCCTTTCACGAGCTGTACCCATCCTGATAAAAAATGGACATTTTTGAAAACTTGTATTCACCTCCTGAACTCGAGCTTGAATACCTCCACTATGTGCCTTCAGAAACCTCACAGACACTACATATTATATGCATTATATGCCTTTCTCTGAGGCAAATAATTACTTAATATGCCCATTAAATGCCTGTGATACAGCAGTGTTACAGTGTGAAAAGATAAGGGATGTGCCCATAAAATTCTGTTTTATGTATTAATTATCTACATATATATTGTCTACAAACAGAAAAATAATTTATGTTTAATTGTTTTATTTTTATCAATGCATATAGTGCACCCATCACCAAGTATTTTTAGGTACACAAACAACAGATATTTGAAAATACATAAAATATTGACTCCAAAATGGACAAACTTAACAAATAATAATAAAGAATCTCTTTGTGGTTCAGGCGTGTCAAACAGATTTTAAAAACATAAACACAATTAAAGTTAACAGCACTAAAGCTATAAAGGGTTAAGATAAAGTTATACAATCATGTCCCAGAGTATCAGCACACTTATTCAATTCAGCTGGATTAGCACCTTGGCACTAGTTGCTGAATGGCTCCCAATTGCTATTACATTACCAACACCAGGTGTCAAAGATACCATTTTTTTAAGCAATAAGCAAAAGGCTTTTTTTTTTTCCGCCCAGCAGTTCTTTAGATAAAACATACAATAAACAGAGAGGAAAAAAAAATGTACTTGCTATATTTAAGTTTCTAACAATTAATTACTATGTTATCTATACTGTAAGAAATTCTTAAGTATTGTTGGCAATTGGAGTTGTGGAACAAGATGCAGTCTAGCTCTTCCTATGTAATTTCGGATACATAGTCGGCAGAGCTGACAAAGAGAAGATGGTGTGGCTGTAAACAATAAAGAAAATTGTTTAATTGTACAACTATGAAAGCCAGCACTTTGTTTTACAACAGTCTTGCACAATAATAGGATTTCTAAAAAAACAAAGTTCACATTTTGCAAATTTGACATTTTTCTTCATTCTGTTTCCTTCACTGCCTTTCTGCCCTCAAAGATAAAGACTGGGGCTGCTTAAACCTTAATAATAGTTAGGGAAATACTAAAGAAAGCAAGACAAGGTCAGTTTTTTTAAATTAAAAACCAGCTCCCAGAAAATATCTGATGTCAATAACTTTAAAAACTGCAGACTTCTTATTTTGGGATTTTTTTATTTATAGCACAGATTACATACCTGCTACAGCACTACCAATGCATCACTGCAACAAGAACAAGTAGGCAAAATACCCTAAGATCCTGGACCATATTTAGTGGTCTTACTAGTTAATCATAATGTCTTTATCACTCTGCCCCCCACTCATTCAAAGTGCTATTTTCTGTGGACAATAAACCTGTATCTGTTTCATGCCATGTAATTTTTTTTCTTTGCTCTCACTTTTAAAAACACTACTAACCTTACTAAATTTGTGAACACATACAGTTTTTAGAGGGGTTTTGTTAGTAGCATTCAGACTACAGGGTGGTTTTTCTGGAGGTAAACATGAATCAGTGTTACTTGTCAGTTCACCTCTAAAGAGATGCCCATGGTTATTGAAATAGTTTCATTCTCTTGTGGCTTATTTTTATATTATATATAGTTCAATCTGAACAAGTCCAGTTCCCTCTGGAATATTCTCTCTCTCCAAAGCAGATAGGCCTTTAAGAGGTGTGAGAAACTATAGACTCTTTAGTCTCCTGTTTCTCAGGTTTTAAAATTTTGTAAAGAAAATTTAGAAAATTAAACTTCTTATGCTTTTTGCCCACAATCAAAATTTGCTTTATATGCACATAAAATACATATTCAAAAATATTATGACAGCTGACCAAAATGAAATATATATTTAACCTGAAATTTAAATACACTGTTTCTTTTTAACAAGGTCTGTAAAAACCAATAAAAATGTAGCTTTAATGTCTACTTAAATAACATATGACAGTACTTTTTCAGCTTGTATAAATTCTGATGCTGCTTGGCCAGTGGGCTCTGGCCTGAGGCTAAATATTTCAGAGCATGTTTATAGTTAGAAAGAAAATTACCTGAATGCTCATATATTAATTTCATACAGCACAGTCAGTGTTACCTTCTATAACATGGGTCGTTTGGATCGTTAAATTGGGGGCTTTTCTAGGTGGGTTTGCTTTTTTTTAATAATACAAGTTGCAGTTTCAAATATAAACATCTAAAACTTACCTTCATGGAAGAGCAGCAGTCTCTCCACTAAACTGCTTGGGGCAGCTAAATCAACAGGCCTCTCAAAATCTGAATTTTTGGCATTTATGTCTGCCCCAAATTCAAGGAGTAAGTTTACAATCTCTGTACTAGAATGCTGGGCAGCAGCATGGAGTGGAGTTTGCAAATGCTTTCCTTTCTGCACGTTGGCACCTGGTGGGTAGATGCACGTAAAGAGACAGAAGAAGGGATTAATTAAATTTACCATCGAGTAAGAAAGACAAGGCTACAAAACAAACAAAAACCACCACTGGCCTGGAATGCCACAGTGCATTTAGCCACTTTATTATTTTATTGCACAGAACTATAACTGATCACATCAGTGTTTTGTTTGAGTTTTGTTTTTTTATCCTAGGTTTTATTATCCAAGTACAACCAGATAAAAAGGTATTAGGTAACCAATCAGGTAACATGAGCATCACTGTTGCCTAATTATAAAAAGCACTTTTTGTTCATATTTAAGGAAATTTACACTACATAAAAAACATACTTTTCTTAAGTCTTAAAAAAAATCACTAAACTGAAGTTTTGTATTTATATTCTTGTGAGTACACCAACTCCAGAAAGAATCTTGAATGCCTTACAATTTTTCACATGTTAAAGAAAAGAGTTTGAAATAGAGCTGCAAAAGAGTTTGAAATAGACTCCCATCACATCCAACCTTCATTTATTAATCTATAAATTAGTTTTAATTTTAATTAAGGTGAGATACACAGTCAGAAAAGCTAATAGCGGAAAAAAAACCCCAAACCATTAATTCTCCCAATCCATGGGTTCTAATCATTACACTTTTATATTAATAGGTAATTTTGAACATGTTTTAAATTAAAATGGACTAAATTAATTTGCAAAAATCCATACAAGGGTTAAACTAAACTAGCTAGTATGGAATAATCTCTCTTACACAGGGAAGCTGTTGGTTCATCTAAAACCTAGCGTTCTTCAGACTTATTACATACCTTGTGAGGCCAAAAATTGCCTTCTGCTCCAACTTTACTCCCTGAATCAACACTTTTTGCATTTTAAATGTCCATTTGAGTAAAATAATAATGTCACAGGTCTAGAAATTGGATCTGAAATCTGAATAATTCACTGTTCTTAATATTAACAATTGGAGCATACTTTTGCAATCTATTGCTTATTGTCTATCTGCCTTTCAACTTCTAATACATTCTCACAAACTGATAAAACACGAAAAAATTTAATTTACAGAAGTAGCTACTTATATTCTCAATTTACATACCCTTTTCTACTTCAGGGCACCAACAAATGTCTGTTTTTTTCTGTATGGTAGTATTTGAATCCCAAAGTATGCTAATTACACTTCTGCTGTTCTTAAACAGAAAAAATCATGACTCAGGATAATTAATCATCCAAGGAGATGGACTCAATGAGAAATACTTTAACTGCTTGTTTAAGTTCTAAATATAGCATACAATCAACTAGAAAAACTATTCTGGTGCAAGGATAGCAAGGCTGAATTATTCATGTATACATTTAAATCCTTGCTCTGCGGATGCAAAAGCCCTGTATGTAAATACCTGAAATGCAGCAAATTGTCTTTCAGCTATGCCAATTGTGTCCCTGGACTTGTGCTGAAACAGAGACAGCCTTCAACATCTCTTACCCATTGATTAAGTAAATAATCTGAAATTTAGGATCTGATGCCTTTTACCTCACCCCTTCCCTCTGCAACTCAGCCTCTATGCCTCATGCAAAGATCAGTCAGAACTTGCTGAAGAATGAAAGCGAGTGGGACTTCATTGCTAAAGTAGTTTGAAATCTCAGTGATTACTATATGAAATTTCTCAAAGCTCATTTTTTACCTTTGTTTTTCCTACAGAAAATTAATATCTACAAAACTGCACTATGTGCTGAAAATTTTGAATATCCTTTCTTACTGGTCTTGCTTCCTTTTTTCCTTTTCTACTTACTATGGCACCAAAAAAAAAAAAAAAAAGTAAGTTATAAGAAAACATGACTCAGCATAAACTTTGAAGTAGAGCCCTGCAAGCAAGAGTTCCAGTTCAATTGGCTGAGCACAGCTGACTCCAAAGGCGAATACAATATGCTTATTTTACAGACCGCTAATATTTTTATTAAATCATGACATACCTGCATAAAGAAGCTTTCGAATGCAATGGATCTGCTGTGAAACACAAGCTACATACAGAGGTGTTCCTAAATGAGGAAGATCTTGGTCAACATCTATACCCCAGGATATCAGTACCTCCAGGCATTCACTGTGACCTGTCAGTACAAAGCATGACAGTTTGATCGACTTCAGTACACTGTCTCATGGACAAACTCATTTCTCAGACATTGCTCAGCTGCTCCATGTTTATTGAGGAGCTGATTTCTTACCTCTGCTGGCTGCTTCATGTGTTGGTGAGGGCAGACAGGACTCCCACTGAGCTTTGGCACCGTATTGTAACAGCAGCTCAGCACATGCTGCACTGCCTCTCGAACAGGCATTAAATAAAGGTGTCACTCCATCAATTGTTGTAGCATTTACCTAGAATATATAAAATCTGTTTACAAAAAGAATGAAAAACAAGGTAGATTTTTAAACAGGAAATAGTTAGAAATGGCATTAAAAAATACTAATTAAAATAACAAGTTAACTGACCAGTCTCTGTGAAACTGTCTTCCTCTTACCATGCTTCTCAGTTGGAATTAGTTTACTACTATTCTTGTTAAAGTATGTTGGATAAATACACCTGGAATACTAAAGAGCATATATTGACATCTGGGCAGTAAATAATTTTCAAAAGTCATTGCAATGAGCTTGTTTCAATGATACAGAAAATTTACACTTTGCATACTAACAGGATAAAGGGATCTTCTCTCCACAGCTCTAGCAGGAATTGAGA